ATCGCTGCAAAATGCTGTGGTAGCCATGCTGGTTAAGTGTGCCTTGATTCTAAATAAATCACAGACAGTGTCACCAGCAGAGCACCCCCACACCATAACACGTCCTCCTCCATGCTTTACGGTGGAAAATACACATGCGGAGATCATCCATTCACCCACACCGCGTCTCACAAAGACACGGCGGTTGGAACCAAAAATCTCACATTTGGACTCCAGACCAAAGGACAAATTTCCACCGGTCTAATGTCCATTGCTTGTGTTTCTTGGCCCAAGCAAGTCTCTTCTTCTTATTGATGTCTTTTAGTAGTAGTTTCTTTGCAGCAATTTGACCATGAAGTCCTGATTCACACAGTCTCTGAACATTTGATGTTGAGATGTGTCTGTTACTTGAACTCTGTGAAGCATTTATTTGGGCTGGAATTTCTGAGGCTGGTAACTCTAATGAACTTATCCTCTGCAGCAGCGGTAACTCTGGGTCTTCCATTCCTGTGGCGGTCCTCATGAGAGCCAGTTTCATCATAGCGCTTGATGGTTTTTGCGACTGCACTTGAAGAAACTTTCAAAGTTCTTGAAATGTTCCGTATTGACTGACCTTCATGTCTTAAAGTAATGATGGTCTGTCGTTCCTCTTTGCTTATTTGAGCTGTTCTTGCCATAATATGGACTTGGTCTTCTACCAAATAGGGCTATCTTCTGTATACCCCCCCCCCACCTTGTCACAACACAACTGATTGGCTCAAATGCATTAAGAAGGAAAGGAATTCCACAAATTAACTTTTAAGAAGGCACACCTGTTAATTGAAATGCATTCCAGGTGGCTACCTCATGAAGCTGGTTGAGAGAATGCCAAGAGTGTGCAAAGCTGTCATCAATGCAAAGGGTGGCTATTTGAAGAATCAAAAATATAAAATATATTTTGATTTGTTTAACACTTTTTTGGTAACTACACGATTCCATAGTTTTGATGTCTTCACTATTATTCTACAATGTAGACAATAGTAAAATTAAAGAAAAACCCTTGAATGAGTAGGTTTTCTAAAACTTTTGACCGGTAGTGTAGATGATTGATACTGTCTTTGAGGCCATTTCAATCACTAGCAAACACTGGCAAAGTGGTGCCAGACAAAACAGAAAGGTTAGGCAATACGTCAATACGAAAAAATTGACCAGAAGTCTGAGAAAATAAGATGATGAAGCAGGTGCTTGATGCGCCTAGAATCAATGATACTGACCTCCCAACCTTACCCCAGTTTCGGTGAGGTAACTTTACGCGACCATGTTCTACAAACATTTTCTCTATCACCAAAGGGACCACTGACGCACATTTCTATCTTATGTATTGACTCTGGCTAGAAATTCAGTAGGGTGATTTAAAAAATGAAAACATATTTTGGGATAGGGACACATCATGAGCAATCCATTACCTGATACATTTATTCTCATCAACCATGCTTAAATAAACAGTAAACAAATAACTTACAGACATCATCATTCGTTAAGAACCATCAAATCATTAGACAAATATTGTAATTCAAGAGAGAGTAGGCTCAGTATTACGCTCATTAATCCTTGACGTTTCTGTTTAGCATTTTACATTCAATCATGCCCTTTTGAATTGAAGGTGCCACATTCCATTTCTTTTTCACAGGCTCAACTGCAAGCATGTCCTGGTGAAGAACCATGATCACTTGTGGGGTTGATATGACCCACAATTCAATGCAAACTGTAGTCACTTGTCATACTCCGATGGCCAGAGTAAGACGCGGCTGCATTTTCGGCATGTCAGACAAAATTATGAAGCTAGCTTGCTAAAAATATATAGATTACATTAAGCGTTGGCAAATTGGCTTAGTCTCGTAGTGAGGACCCTATAAAATGTAGCTAGCTTCATAAACATATTTTTTGGAATTCTGAAATTGATTGGAATAAATGACCAAACTATAAAACTAGCTAGCCAGCTATGGGTAACTGTAGCTAGCTACCTGACAGGAGTGCTAGGTAGCTATGTTAGCTTGATAGGTACATTCATAGCTCTAGGTTGGTTGTTTTTAAGCTCAATTGTAAGATTTCCACCAAGGACGTTGCCTCTCCAAACATCACTCCCTCGCTTGGGCAAGGGACATTTAAGGTACACTCAGTCGGATGTGACGATGTAAAACGTAATTCAAGGGCTGAGGGTTTTGGGCCGAGCCTTGCAACATTCTAACAGTCTAATAAATACATTAAATATATGCTAGCGGGGAAATAATAACTTGGTTGATTTTATAAAGGTCTTGGGTAAAAAATAAAATAAGAACACAATAGCATTTTCATTAGTTTATGTTACTGTAGATGATCTACTGCTGCATGCTCACTGTGGAGCGCAAAGGAACAGTGGTTATTGTTGGAAAAAAGTGATATTATGAAATAGAGCTCATATCTTCAATTTTGAGAGTTATTTGGCAAAGGTAAATGTGTTGGAAAACTCAGAATCTGCTCTTTCTGATACTATATAGAAACCAGAACATCTTACCTGTATGAGTAGGATTAGGAAAAGTAACTTTTTGGTGCTTCGGGAAAAAATTATGTCCTCCTAAAACTGCTTATAACACAAATTTTGTGATATCGAAATTCTAACAGGTGTGTTCAAAATACTAATTTAGTTAAAGTCAAGGACGGAGGGGTGCATTACTTTAGAAATTGCAGAGATACATGTATTGCAGACAAAACAGGAGAAGTTGAACCTCACGCTTCAACGCTCTTAGTTGTTGCGGAAATTGACCCACTATGCTGTTGACTTTTTGCATCTACGTCATATCGCTGAGTCTACCTTTAATTGAAACAATAACAAAGTGATTAACTGCCTCTGTTTTGGTAAAAAGCTGAGGGATGGGCCTGGAGAATGTAACCAATGTCAAATTCATAGACAGAGCTATGGATGCAAGGACTGACCATCCATGGCATCAAAAATCTAGTATTAACCATGTTTAAAGTCGTCTGAAAATGAAAGAGGAAAAAAGATTAAACTCCGACAAAGCCTGCCGCATGTGACCTGTTGTAAAGATGTCTTAGAAATTAGTAGCCTAGCTACATATTACTCTGATACTTCTATTCATTCTAAAATATACAGTATTATCTTTTTGAGAAATTATTCAATTGAGAATGCACAAGGTGTACTGTGTGACTTGTTTATCTTTCTAGCTGAGTCATTTGTGGATGCACATTTTCATTTAGACTACAAATTACATTGACAAAGACAAAGGATGACTGACATCCTGCATTATTAAGGTCTCAAAGCACAATTGACCTCTTTAGAAAGCAAGTCCAACTTTTTCCAGTCATTCCACTCATTATCTACCACTCAACTGTCATTCACTTTGGGAGCTGTGTAGTGAAACTGGGGTTTGCCTGAAAAATAATGGTCTGTCTCTTTTTTTATTCCTATACAGACACAATAGAAAAATACCCTATTTAGAAATAAGTACATCTTATTCTGACAATGTGAATTGAATAAGGGAAGATATATACTGTGTTTGTTTTGTTGCAGAGATTTAAGAAATAAGTATTGAGCAAATGAAAGCAGAACATATACACAAGAACATAAAACTGCAGTACTTCTTGTTAGTTTTATCTTGTGGGCCCATGATCCACCCTCTCTGAGTTGGGCATCTCCGGAGCTGCTCACTCTTGGATTGCGTCCTACCTGACAGGTCGCTCTCACCACTGGTGTCCCCCAGGGCTCAGTTCTAGGCCCTCTCCTATTCTCTCTATACACCAAGTCACTTGGCTCTGTCATATCCTCACATGGTCTCTCCTATCATTGCTACGCAGACGACACACAATTCATTTTCTCCTTTCCCCCTTCTGATAACCAGGTGGCGAATCGCATCTCTGCATGTCTGGCAGACATATCAGTGTGGATGTCAGATCACCACCTCAAGCTGAACCTCGGCAAGACGGAGCTGCTCTTCCTCCTGGGGAAGGACTGCCCGCTCCATGATCTCACCATCACGGTTGACAACTCCGTTGTGTCCTCCTCCCAGAGTGCAAAGAACCTTGGTGTGACCCTGGACAACACCCTGTCGTTCTCCGCTAACATCAAAGCGGTGACGTGATCCTGCAGATTCATGCTCTACAACATTCGCAGAGTACGACCCTACCTTACACAGGAAGCGGCACAGGTCCTAATCCAGGCACTTGTCATCTCCCGTCTGGATTACTGCAACTCGCTGTTGGCTGGGCTCCCTGCCTGTGCCATTAAACCCCTGCAACTTATCCAGAACGCTGCAGCCCGTCTGGTGTTCAACCTTCCCAAGTTCTCTCATGTCACCCCGCTCCTCCGCACACTCCACTGGCTTCCAGTTGAAGCTCGCATCTACTACAAAACCATAGTGCTTGCCTATGGAGCTGTGAGGGGAACGGCACCTCCTTACCTTCAGGCTCTGATCAGACCCTACACCCAAACGAGGGCACTACGTTCATCCACCTCTGGCCTGCTAGCCCCCCTACCTCTACGGAAGCACAGTTCCCGCTCAGCCCAGTCAAAACTTTTCGCTGCTCTGGCACCCCAATGGTGGAACAAGCTCCCCCATGACGCCAGGACAGTGGAGTCACTGACCACCTTCCGGAGACACTTGAAACCCTACCTCTTTAAGGAATACCTGGAATAGTATAAAAGTAATCCTTCTACCCCCCCCATAAAAAACAAAAATAGGGTGGTTGTCCTACTGGTTATCCTAAGTTGAATGTACCAATTTGTAAGTCGCTCTGGATAAGAGCGTCTGCTAAATGACGTAAATGTAAATGATCCAGATCTGTGTTAGTCATGATGACCATGCAGTCAGGAAGCAACAGAATACATTGGAACACATCACCATTGGCCCCTGCTGGCCAACACACTGCTATGTGACAAAATCTCAGTGGCAATAACAAACAAACCAGCTCGGAGGAGAGATGGAGAGGTGGGAGGAGTGGTATTTGACTGACAGGTCAAGCCCCAAAAGCCCCATATAAAAAGGCAGGCTAGATGGCAAGGGAAACACGAACCTGCAGACTCACAAGCGCCAAGCCATACCTTCACAGAGACCATGAAGCTGACAATACTGCTCTGTGCTATCGTGCTCCTCTCTCTCTCTGGTGAGTACTATTACCATAACCAACTGGCAACAGCACTTACGAGCTGTTTTGACATACATGTACAAATATTGCTTGATATTTTTAACATTGAACATTTCACCTTATTCTGAACTTAGATCAATGAGGTTTTGAGAATAATCAGACAACTCTTCATTGTTAACGATGCTAGTTCAATTGGTTACAAGCTTTTGACTGAATGTAAGAATGAAGAGTAGCCTATAAGGAAGTGGTGACGGATACATTGTTTAGGATACAATACCCAGTTGTAAGAGCCCACACAAAGGGAAAGTCAGAGCAGCACCAAGAAAATAATGTCAGGTGATATCCTTTTGTCTACTCAGGCATTTCTATGAAGCTGACTGTGGGAGAGCTTTGTGTGGGGAGCCAAGATCCTATTAAATTCCTATGAATAATTATTGTAATTCCTAATTATATGCATGTCACAGGACACTGGTGAGAATATGGACAACAGTCTCAGACCCCATGCCATTAATCCCAAGATAAAAGTTATTTCCAAGATAGATACCTTGACATTGGGGTTACTGGCATGTATCTCACTGGCTGGTTCATCATAGAGCTAAAGATAAAACATTGAGGAAGTTCAACAAGGAACAGTCATTTGTCTAGGTGATATTCTCTCTAGTCAAGAGCTCATCTGGAAAACAATAAGGTATTTAAAGAAGTGGAATGTGATCTTGTTTCAAAGACCAATAATAAAAGAAGGCATACTTTTCAGACAGTTGTTGAGCAACATTCAGTCAACCTTTTTCCCCACACAGAATATTGTGAATCACATCAAGGAAAAAGTTAATACCCTTTTCTTTCTTTATGTTTTGTACAGTTTTTGCCATGGATGAAGAAAGACCCCCACAGCCCAGAGAGGTGAGTTATTCTATTGAAACAAGGCCTTTACAATGCTTTCTATTAGGATGTATGTCAAAATAGCTATAATAGTAAGGACTGCTCTTCCCCTGCTTACAATAGCCTCAGTGTGAGGTGTATGAAAGCGGCATGTGCTCCAGAGAGTTTGATCCTGTGTGTGGGAGCGATGGCAACACTTACACCACTGAGTGTGTGCTGTGTAAAGAGAACAAGTAAGTATAAAACACATGGGTTATTTACCTTGTGTAAATATGGTTTCTGAGAGAGTATTATTCCTATTATACCTATCCTACTATGGGCTGTAATGTAAGTATAAAGCTCAAGGGTGAGGTTATTTACCTGCTGTAAATAACGTTTCAGAATTATTCCCTATAGAATATAGATGATTGAAATGGCCTCAGACAGCATCAATCACTAGGAAACACTGGCAAGGTGGTGCCAGACAAAACAGAAAGGTTAAGCAATTCGTCAATAAGAAAAAATTAACCAGAAGTCTGAGAAAATCAGATGATGAAGCAGGTGCTTGATGCACCTAGAATCAATGATACTGACCTCCCAACCTTACCCCAGTTTCGGTGAGGTAACTTTTCGTGACCATGTTCTAGAAACAGTTGCACTATCAGGAAAGGGACGTGCCACTGACGCACAATGCACGTATCTTACCTATTGACTGGCTAGAAATGTAGTAGGGTTTGTTAAAGATTAAAACATTTTTCAGTTAAAGGCAGATCATGCCTTTTACCCGATACATTTATTCTTATCAACCACACTTAACAGTAAACAAATAACTTAGACATTAGTTAAGACATTTCAAATAGAAATCAAACTGGATGGTCTTCACAAATAGATGGGAGGGGTTGAGGGTAGCGGAAGGATAGGAGTAAAAACAAACAAAAGATAACTACTGTAAAATAGATTGTGTCTGTAAAATCTATATAGTATGTTTAAGCTGGAAGTAGAAGCCTAAGTGTTGTTCATTAGTTTACTCTCATTAGGGAAGGGGTGGCAGAAAATAATAAAGGAATATATATGCTAAATGACTACAACAAAAAAAAAAGAATTGAAAGAGGAGTGGGAGGCCCCGGTGCACAACTGAGCAAGAGGACAAATACATTAGTGTCTAGTTTGAGAAACAGACGCCTCACAGATCCTCAACAGGCAGCTTCCCGGAGTCGCCTCTTAACTGTTGACGTTGAGACTGGTGTTTGTGGGTACTATTTAATGAAGCTGCCAGTTGAAGACCTGTGAGGCGCCTGTTTCTCAAAAAAGACACTAATGTATTTGTCCTCTTGCTCAGTTGTGCACCGGGGCCTCCCACACCTCTTTCTATTCTGGTTAGAGCCAGTTTGCGCTGTTCTGTGAAGGGAGTAGTACACAGCGTTGTATGAGATCTTCAGTTTCTTGGCAATTTCTCGCATGGAATAGCCTTCATTTCTCAGAACAAGAATAGACTGACGAGTTTAGAAGAAAGTTATTTGTTTCTGACCATTTTGATTCTGTAATCAAACCCACAATTGCTGATGCTCCAGATACTTAACTAGTCTCATGAAGGCCAGTTTTATTGCTTCTTTAAATCAGCACAACAGTTTTCAGCTGTGCTAACATAATTGCAAAAGGGTTTTCTAATGATCAATTAGCCTTTTAAAATGATAAACTTGGATTAGCAAACACAACGTGCCATTGGAACACAGGACTGATGGTTGCTGATAATGGGCCTCTACGCCTATGTAGATATTCCATTAAAAATCTGCCGTTTCCAAATACAATAGCCATTTACAACATTAACGATGTCTACACTGCATTTCTGATCAATTTGATGTTATTTTAATGGACAAAAAAATTTGCTTTTCTTTCGGAAACAAGGACATTTATAAGTGACCCCAAACTTTTGAGTGGTAGTGTATATATGGGGGATTGGAAATGAAGCACACAATTACATTGATGGAAGCTACAATCGATCTGCAATATTAAATCATTAGAATAAAGTGTGTATTTGAGAGAAGTAGACTCAATATTATACTCAACAATCCTTGAGGTTTCTGTTTAGCATTTTACATTCAATCATGCACTTTTGAATTGAAGGTGCCACATTTGAACCTTCCATTTCAAGTCATTAACAGAACACAATCTCTTTTTCACAGGCTTAAACACAAGCAAGTCCTGGTCAAGCATGGAGGAGTGTGTGAGGCATAACAAGAAGTCTCTCTGGACACCTCTCCTGCCAGAATTATCCAGAGTAAGGAGGAGTATCACAGGACACCAGCTTTCTAAATCTGTAGTAAACTGTAGACTAATAAAATTATGAAGCATGAACATGTAGTCTCTTCTCTTATGAAAGCTAATAGAATTTTATGGAAGTATACTGAACAAAAATATAAACACAACATGTAAAGTGTTGGTCCCATGTTTCATGAGCTGAAATAAAAGATCCCAGAAATGTTCCATACGCACAAAAAGCTTATTTCTCTCAAATTTTGCGCACACATTTCTATACATCCCTCTTAGTTAGCATTTCTCCTTTACCAAGATAATCCATCCACCTGACAGGTGTGGTATGTCAAGAAGCTGATTAAACAGCATGATCATTACACAGGTGCACCTTGTGCTGGGAACAATAAAAGGCCACTAAAATCTGCAATTGTCACAACACAATGCCACAGATGTCTCAAGTTGAGGGAGCGTGCAGTTGGCATGCTGACTGCAAGAACGTCCACCAGAGCTGTTGCCAGAGAATTTAATGTTAATTTCTCTACCACAACGTCGTTTTAGAGAATTTGGCAGTATATCCAAACGGCCTCACAACCGCAGACCACGCGTAACTACGCCAGCCCAGGAACTCCACATAAGTATTTCTGTCTGTAATAAAGTGGGGGAAAACGTATTCTGATTGGCTGGGCCTGGCACCCCAGTGGATGAGCCTGGCTCCCAAACGGGTGGGCCTATGCCCTCCCAGGCCCACCCATGGCTGCGCCCCTGCCCAGTCATGTGAAATCCATAGATTAGGGCCTAATGAATTGATTTCAATTGACTGATTTCCTTATATGAACTGTAACTCAGAAAAATCGTAGAAATTGTTGCGTTTATATTTTTGTTCAATATAGTTCTGATTTCATTACCGTTAACAGCAGGTCAAATAGGGGGTGCTTCTATTTGTCCCGTTTCACACATGTAAAAGTGTGTGGTGTGAAATTGATGTTTTTGTTGCATATCCCACTCCCCCTGAGACACCTTCAGAGAGTGGGGTCACGGCATGGGATCAGCCAAACCTGGAGCATTTAGGGTTAAGTGCCTTGCTCATGGGCAGATCAGATCGGCAGCTTTTTTACCTAGTCAGCTCGGGATTAGAACTAGTAACCTTTCAGTTACTGACCCAATGCTCTACCCGCCACCCACATGGGCACCAGTCTCTCATTAGTGGGCAATCCACTAAGAAGATCGATAGAGCACACTGTGAATAAGAAACACAAATGTCATAAGGGAAAATAATGTCCTTTAGCCCAGCTAAATGTATTCCTCAGGGAGGACTGGAGAGCCTTATTTTGAGACAAGCCAAAGCATGATGCATCACAGATGTAGAAAAAAGGTGTAAGGAAGGCTAAGCCCTCTGAGGCAGCAACTAAAAGGCAACCTTGTGATTTGCAGATGTGTGATCATATCACACAGCCTCAAAATAAAAATGTTACATTACAGAACTGCAGACTTGTTTTTATTGTCCTTTGATGGGTTTTTTCACCCAGCCCTATGCTCACTTCAGTTTCAGCACCACTGTCTCCAACAGGGCCAGGATCTCCCCAAAGTATCCATCCTCGTCTCCGAGGACCTGCTCTGTGAGCACCAGCTCCTGGTACTGCTCCTGTAGGGCGCTGAGGGAGGAAGACAGGGCATTGTCCTGCCGATATTGAGTCTGGCAGTGAGGCATCATGGCCAGGATAGTTCTCAGGGCCTTCTCCTTCCAGTCGTGCTCTGGTGAGGCCAACAGTTCAGGCACCAGGCTGCACCAGCCCTGCTCTGCCAACAGTGGCTGGAGGGAGACCTGTGCGTACTGCCGCAAACGCTCGTTGTGAGAAGCATCTGGAATGGGGTCAAGTCCAGTCTGAGAGATCAGCTCCTAGAATAGAGAATGTGCTATTCACATAATTTGATTTCACATGATTAGCTTTGCAATTATTTAAAGAGCACCCCTCACCTTTTCATTGATCATGTCATAGATTATGGTTACAATCCGCACACGGACAGCCCCACCTCCGGAAGCTCGGAAAATATCCCCCAACACCTGCAGCCCACCCAGCTTCAGGAAGTGGCTTTGGGCAAAGGGGAAGTGACGTAGCAAAGAGGCCACAGCAAACAACGCCTGTATACAGACAAACATTAGCATCAGTAAAGTGCCAGGAAGAGAATTATGATTTCCAAGTTTATCAAATCGGAGCAAATTGAAAGAGGGTCTCCTACTGGATTATAAACTCTGCTACATATACTGGACTGATTGTAGAATCAGAGTACTAATGAATGGATTTGGTTATGTGGGAACTGGGAACAAGACTTGCCTTCTTTTTAACAGACATGGGTCGTGGAGTGGCGAGTAACATTAACAGCTTCTGTAGGGTACCACTTTCAAATGCCTCCACCTGCACTACTGGGTTACTAGAAAGAATATAATGAATGACAATGTTACTGACACACACACACACACACACACAAATACAAACAAAAACATTCTGTCTTTTGGCTGGTATTTACAATTAGACTGTTCGTATGGGTTAATGGAGACTGCTATACCTTGACAGAGCTGACCCCAAGACGAAAGCAGCACTCTCCTGAAGGCGATAGTCTGTGCTGTTCAAAGCATCAACCACAAGCTTCAATCCTCCCCTAGATGCCAGGTTCTGTGCATTGTCCACCTGACAACACAGATAACAAGGAAACTAATTATAATGTTATTTCTACAATCAAATGAAAAGGTTAACATTTAAAAAAAATCGATGTATCTCTTTCATTGTCTCAACAATTTATATTCCCCAACCATTAGTATATCATTGTCTCCCATCTCATTAGTATACAGTGCATTCGGAAACTATTCAGACCACTTCCCTTTTTCCACATTTTGTTACGTTATAGCCTTATTCTAAAATGAATTAAATTATTGTTTGTCCTCAATCTACACACAACACCCCATAATGACAAAGAGCGAAAACAGATTTTTAGACATTTTTGAAAATATTCAAAATAAAAAACAGAAATACCTTTTTTACATAAGTATTCAGACCCTTTACTCAGTACTTTGTTGAAACACCTTTGGCAGCGATTACAGCCTTGAGTCTTCTTGAATACATTCCGAATGCACTGTATCATTGCCTCCCACCTCATTAGTATCTCATTGCCTCCCACCTCATTAGTATCTCCTTGCCTCCCACCTCATTAGTATCTCCTTGCCTCCCACCTCATTAGTATCTCCTTGCCTCCCACCTCATTAGTATCTCCTTGCCTCCCACCTCATTCGTATCTCCTTGCCTCCCACCTCATTAGTATCTCCTTGCCTCCCATCTCATTAGTATCTCCTTGCCTCCCACCTCATTAGTATCTCCTTGCCTCCCATCTCATTAGTATCTCCTTGCCTCCCACCTCATTAGTACATAATTGACTCCCTAACTGTAGTCTGGGGGGGCTCACCTGATGAACAAGGTACTCTATGTCATGTAGAGCTTTCATCTTCTCCTCCACAGTGGCATTTGAGCAATTGAATTGGGACACCAGTCTGCTCATAACCTGGAAGTCTGACTCCATCAGCATGTCCAGCTTGGCCATGTCTCTTTTCAGCTCCTCCATGGGACGAAACTGGGCCCTGAGAGCCTCCTAAACACACAGGGAAACACACTAGAACCATAACGAATAGTTTGCAGACCGAGAGGGAAATCAAAGATAGATGGGATCACAGAGGCATTCGTCTCTTTACATAGCCGCTTGTCTCCACCGTGAAAAGAGACTACAGACACATCAAATCAGGCCGTACCTTCTCTTCTTTGTCACTAGTTTCAGGATCCACTCCTTCTTTTATATTTTTCAGAGCCTTCTTCAGCTCCTCAGCACTGAAGGATGGGCCTGGTGTGTTCTCCTTCCCCTGTCTGAATCACAGAGAAAACATCTGTGGTGAGTCTGATGTAATCTCTAGCAAACGTAGTATGGCCCTCTACTGTACAATAGCTATATGGCAAAAAAAATCTGGTGTTTCATACAACTGACAGAAACATTTCAACAGGATCCCTACCTTTGTCCATCTATCTGGTATTTGAGAATCTGGTGTTCCCCAAGTTTGACCTCCCTCTGTCCTGTCTGGAGGTTTAGCCTTACGTGAGAGCCCCTTGGGACCGCCTGGCCTGAGTGATGTCAATATTGTACAGTGAATACTTTTGATTCTGCCATATACATTAATACTCCATGCCGTTTCTTGTTTCCGTGTGTTGCACTTGCATTCTGTGGCATCTATGAATCACATGATTATTCATATTGTTATTATTGACGCCAACGGAAGAACCAAGGACACGGATGGTTCATAAAATGTCAAATGTAATGATGTTGTGAGATTCTCTCTGGTGTTTACAGAACAACTGGTGCTGTGAGATTAGGATATCAGGACCTGCTTAGACAAAGCAATTGTAACAGTAGAGCAAAGGACTGCAATATAAGGGAAAATAAATGGCTTGCTGTTATACTGAGTACATGATGCATGGAATGCTAAGGCATAAATGTATAAACGGGTGTATTCTTATTTTAAATGTATGTAGTTCTGTCTTTGTGCTGTACTTGTCTATTAATGTTCTGTATTATGTCAGGTCATGTTTTGTGTGGACCCCAGGAAGAGTAGCTGCTGCTTTAGCACTAGCTAATGGGATCTTAATAAAATACAACTAAAAATACATGTATTACTACTATGTGTACTTCATGAGACACCTGTGCATTTCTACTTTAACAAAACAATTACCTGGTTTGAGAGTCTGCCACTGATCCGTGGGATGGAACACCTCCAAATCCTCAGGATCTCCCTCTTCCTCCATGTGGTGGGCATCCTCATCATCCAGGCTGGTCTCAGTACTCTCCACAACAGTCAGAGCAGAGGAAGACTACAGGGCCAGGGGATTGTATCAGACTCGTGTAGGCTACAGACTCTCATCAAACTCAGCTAGGCTACACACAAACTGTTTAACAATATATTTATACAGTAGTATAACAATTAGTATAGGTAAATCATTATCTCATTCATTACTCACTTTTTCGCTGAGAACATGGACGAATTGACAACTCAATACTAAGAGCATGAGTGCTATCTTCAGTCTGGTGGATTTACTTCCTTTTCTCAGGCATCCGGTCAACATACTGGCTGTAGTATAGCTAACACAACTAATATACTGATGGTGACAATATCGATATCATAACACTAAAGGGTAACAAATACAATTAAAGTAAGCTACGACGCACTGCACTATTTATTTACCCGACCGCACCATTTCAGATTGAAGCATGGACGTGTAACGTTGATACTTGTCAGAAATTAGACCACACCCACCGTATTTGTCATCACGACCGGGAGCCAATCATATTTAAAAGAGTGTCACTCGTTTTCAAATCTATGCAATCGGATTGGCTAATGGAGATTCCCTGTATGATCTCTGTGACGCAATTATATTACATTTCATCAGTCTTTTTTGGTAGTTTTATTTCATATTATTACATGAACTGACAACTGTACATATAGTCCATGGGACATACCAAAAAGTGGCTAATCTCGGGGTGGCAAAGGTTTGATGGCATTAAATTGTTCCCCACAAGCCCCTGATAAAATTGATATATAACCTCTAGGTTCTTCAAGAGATCGAATATTCCATAATGAGGCAACAGATCACTGTAACTGTAGGCCTACATAGAAAATATCACACCAGTGTGTCAAAACAGTTATGGTACTGTAAACATGTAGAGTATATGAATCTTACAACATATGAAAAAGTAACTATAGTTATTTATTCTCAGAAAACAGATAAGCCGGAGAAGAAGAGACTAATGTGTCGGTTATAGCGGGTTAACCCTGATCTACACTGAAGAAGAAAAAAACGCAACATGCGACAATTTCAACAATTTTACGAGATACAGTTCATATAGGGAAATAAATCAATTGAAATAAATTCATTAGGCCCTAATCCACATATGTCAGAGTCAAGGCCCGCGGGCCACATCCGGCCCGCGAGAAGGTTTTTTACGGCCCCTGGGATGATCTTGATTTATTATTAGAACCGGCCCGCAGACCGCAGCAAGCCGGCAGCCCGCAGATCTTTTACACGCACCAATACTACATTTCCCACAATGCAACGGTGACGCACCGAGCAGTAGGCTGCTTCATTTCAATATTTATTGGCACAGCAGTCGTCAGCATCACAGTAAAATTAACTTTCAGATACCCATCAAAAATGGCAAAACGGAAGGTGGACACTGAGAACCGGGGGTTTCAAACAAGGTGGGAGTCGGAGTATATGTTCACGGAGGTAGCTGGAAAACCTGTGTGTCTTCTGTGTGGAGAAAGTGTGGCGGTACTGAAAGAGTATAATCTGAGACGACATTATGAAACGAAACACGCGGACAAAAACAAGAATAAGGCCAGTTTTATTTTGGCAGAAGAGATCGCTAAATCAGCCCGGCCATTTACGGAGGGGGATTTCATCAAAAACTGCATGATTAAAGTTTGTGACGAAGTTTGCCCAGAAAAAAGGCAACTCTTTTTAAATGTGAGTCTGAGCAGAAACACCATTGCCGAGAGAGTAGACCAGTTGTCCATCAATCTAAAAGAGCAGCTTGTGAAAAAGGGAAAAGATTTCATTGCATATTCCTTGGCTGTGGATGAGAGCACCGACATTTCTGACATTGCCCAGTTGTCAATTTTCATCCGCGGAGTGGACTCCAGCCTAAGCGTGACAGAGGAGTTTTTGGCTTTACGTCCTATGCATGGCACAACTACGGGGCATGATTTGTATGAAGAGGTGTCAAGATGTGTAAATGAGATGGAGCTGCCTTGGGAAAAACTCGTGGGTTTGACAACCGACGGAGCACCTGCGATGTGTGGACACAGGAGCGGACTGGTGGCGAAGATACGGGAAAAGATGCAAGAGGAAAACGCGACAGGTGAGCTGACAGCTTATCATTGTATCATACACCAGGAAGCGTTGTGCGGTAAAGCCTTGAAAATGGAGCATGTAATGAGCATCATCACGCGCACAGTTAACTTTATCAGAGCCAAAGGTTTGAATCACCGCCAGTTCAAGGCATTTCTGACGGAGTTAGAAACGGAGCATGGTGATTTGCCTTATCACACAGAGGTGCGATGGCTAAGCCAGGGAAAGGTGCTTCAAAGATGTTTCGAGCTTCGTGAGGAGATTTGTCTGTTCTTGGACAGCAAAGGGAAAGACACAACACAACTCCGAGACGAAATGTTTCTGTGTGAAATGGCTTTTCTGTGTGACATTACGAGTCATCTGAATGCAATGAACTTGCAGCTGCAGGGTCGGGATCATGTCATCTCTGATATGTACAGTACAGTGAAGGCATTTAAAACCAAACTGACTCTGTGGGAGACGCAGATGCGGAAAGAAAATTTGAGCCACTTTCCCAGCTGCCAGACCATGAAAGAGAAGCTCTCTACCAGTGCGTTCCCGAGCGCACAATTGGCTGATAAAATAGGTATGCTTGCCGCTGACTTTCGACGCCGATTTGCTGACTTTGAAGCACAAAAAAGCAGGTTGGAACTGCTCGGTAACCCATTTGCTGTTGACGTGGAAAGCTCACCACCAAACCTCCAAATGGAGTTGATTGACCTCCAATGCAATGATGCACTGAGGGCAAAATATGCGGCAGTGGGTGCTGCGGAGTTCGCCCGTTTCCTCCCCGACACAATGCCCCAGCTGCGCATCCAGGCTGCTCAAACGTTGTCTATGTTTGGCAGCACATACCTGTGTGAACAACTGTTTTCTTTGATGAACCTGAACAAAACATCACACAGAAGTCGACTTACTGCTGAACACCTCCACTCAATTCTGAGGATTTCCTCAGCTCAGAGCCTTACCCCGAACATTGATGAACTTGTGGAAAAGATGGGACACCACCAAGTATCACCCTCAACCTCAAACAAGTGAACATTACTGTGCAATCACATATTTAGAGTTTTTACTCAGTTCAAGTTTAAAAGTTCAAGTTTAATATTTGTTTTCACTGCATGTTACTTCTCCTTAAACAAAGTGTTGTTTTTGATTAATAGATTTTTGCACTTTATTTTATTGTATTTCAATCCAATTATATTTTAAAAATATTTCAGTTGAGTGGATGATAGAAAATTGCTATTATTGTTTTTTTCTTTGAAGTAAATTTAGCCCACTTTTGCTAAAATAGAAAATATAGGCTACTGATGGTGCCTTGAATACCGGTTTCTTTCATTTAATGTTCATGTTATGGGGATTTTTATATAAAGGAAATTTGTCTTTTGTGTCTGTTGAAAATTAAAGATTACTGACAGAGCCATAAGAAAATATTGCTTTATTTATCTGATCATATTGGAATATATTTGTTAGGTTTTCAGTAGGTTCAATTAGGTTCACTAGACTATATGCGTCATTTAAAAATTTTTCAATGAACATTCGAACAGTCCGGCCCTCGGCTTGTAGCTAAATTTTTTATTTGGCCCTCCGTCCATTTGACTTTGACACCCCTGCCCTAATCTATGGATTTCACTTGACTGGGCAGGGGTGCAGCCATGGGTGGGTCTGGGAGGGCATAGGCCCGCCCACCAACTGGGGAGCCAGGCCAAGCCAATCAGAATGAGTTTTTCCCCACAAAAGTGCTTTATTACAGACAGAAATACTCCTCAGTCTCAGATGATCCCGCAGGTGAAGAAGCCGGATGTGGAGATCCTGGGCTGGCTTGGTTACACGTGGTCTGTGGTTGTGAAGCAGGTTTGACATACTGCCAAATTCTCTAAAACTATGTTGGAGGCAGCTTATGGTAAAGATGTGAATATTCAATTATCTGGCAACAGCTCTGGTGGACATTCCTGCAGTCAGCATGCCAATTGAACGCTCCCTCAAAACTTGAGACATCTGTGGCATTGTGTTGTGTGACAAAACTGCAGATTTTAGTGGCCTTTTATTGTCCCCAGCACAAGGTGCACCTGTGTAATGATCATGCTGTTTAATCAGCTTTTTGACATGCCACACCTGTCAGATGGATGGAGTATCTTGGCGAAGGAGAAATACTCACCAACTGGGATGTAAACAAATTTGTGCACAACATTTTAGAGAAATAAGCTTTTTGTGCGTATGGAACATTTTGGGGATATTTTATTTCAGCTCATGAAACATGGTACCAACACTTTACATGTTGCTTTATATTTTTGTTCAATATAATTTAATCCTGGCTTAATATACTGTATGATGACTATACAACTAAAAAACGTTCTCAATGGGTCTAATTGTTGTGTGTGAAATTTGGTGATAGTTATCATCTAGGTACTATGTGATGATAGAGCACTTCCCAATACTGCCCATAGACTAATTTAACAATAAATACAAAAATTATCTAAATGCTGATTTAATGAACTTTGATATCAGATAGGGGGTTAAAAGGCATCTCACCAAATATTTCATTTTAACACTTAAATTAAATCAGACTGAAATCCATATTTTGTGGTCATTTTATTAATATATTTACAGTTAAAATATACACTGAGTGTACAAAACATTAGGAACACCTTCTCTTTCCATGACAGACTGACCAGGTGAATGCTATGATCCCTTATTGAGGTCACCTGTTAAATCCACTTCAATCACTGTAGATTAAGGGGAGGAGACAGGTTAAAGAAGGATTTTTAAGCTTTGAGACATGGATTGTGTATTTGTGCCATTCAGAGGGTGAATGAGCAAGACAAAATATTTAAGTGCCTTTGAACAGGGTAAGGCAGTAGGTGCCAGGCGCACTGGTTTGAGTGTGTCAAGATCTGCAACGCTGCTGTGTTTTTCACGCTCAACAGTTTCCTGTGTGTATCAAGAATGGTCCATGACCCAAAGGACATCCAGCCAACTTGACACAACTGTGGGAAGCATTGGAGTCAACATGGGCTAGCATCCCTGTGGAAAGCTTGACACCTTGTAGAGTCCATACCCCGACAAATTGAGGCTGTTCTGAACCCAAATAGGGGTGCGACTCAATATTAGGAAGGTGTTCCTAATGTTTTGAACACAGTGTATACTATGTTAGTACTTGATTGAAGGAATAAAAAAAGTGTATAGACTTCTGCTGAGCATACTGGTTTTCCAGTGTTTTCTTCGAGGTAACATGGATGACTTGTTGATTTTAGCTACTTTTTCTTTTCATCTCTTCTGTTCTCTCCTCCACCTTCCTTCTCCATCGTCTTGATTTTACAGTCAGCTAAGAGACCTTAAGGCAATTGCAAACCATTCCGTTTGTATAAAGGTGTTGTCAAATGCAAAACCATACAGATGAGGTATACAACCGTCAAATAAAATAAAAATGTATTTGCCACATGCGCCGAATACGACAGGTGTAGACATTACCGTGAAATGCTTACTTACGGCCCTTAACCAACAATGCATTTATTTTTTAATAAAAAAGTAAAATAAAGTGTTGAGAAAAAAAGAGCAGAAGTAAAACAAAATAACAGTAGGGAGGCTATATACAGGGGAGTACTGGTGCAGAGTCAATGTGCGGGGGCACCGGCTAGTTGAGGTAGTTGAGATAATATGTACATGTGGGTAGAGTTAAAGTGGCTATGCATAAATAATTAAGAGTAGCAGCAGTGTAAAAATATGGGGTGGGGGTGGGGCAGTGCAAATAGTCCGGGTAGCCATGATTTGCTGTTCAGGAATCTTATGGCTTGGGGGTAGAAGCTGTTGAGAAGCCTTTTGGACCTAGACTTGGCGCTCTGTTACCGCTTGCCGTGCAGTAGCAGAGAGAACAGTCTATGACTAGGGTGGCTTGAGTCTGACAATTTTGAGGGCCTTCCTCTGACACCGACTGGTATAGAGGTCCTGGTTGGCAGGAAGCTTGGCCCCAGTGATGTACTGGGCCGTACGCACTACCCTCTGTAGTGCCTTGCGGTCGGAGGCAGAGCAGTTGCCATACCAGGCGGTGATGCAACCAGTCAGGATGCTCTCGATGGTGCAGCTGTATAATTTGAGGGTCTGAGGACCCATGCCAAATCTTTTCAGTCTCCTGAGGGGGAATAGGCTTTGTCGTGCCCTCTTCACGACTGTCTTGGTGTGTTTGGACCATGATAGTTCGTTGGTGATGTGGACACCAAGGAACTTGTAGCTCTCAACCTGTTCCACTACAGCCCCGTCGACGAGAATGGGGGCGTGCTCAGTCCTCATTTTTTCCCCTGTAGTCCACAATCATCTCCTTTGTCTTGGTCACGTTGAGGGAGAGGTTGTTATCCTGGCACCACACGGCCAGGTCTCTGACCTCCTCCCTATAGGCTGTCTCATCGTTGTTGGTGATCAGGCCTACCACTGTTGTGTCGTCGGCAAACTTAATGATGGTGTTGGAGTTGTGCCTGGCCATGCATTCATGGGTGAACAGGAGGGGACTGAGCACGCACCCCTGAGGGGCACCCGTGTTGAGGATCAGCGTGGCAGATGTGTTGTTACCTACCCTTACCACCTGGGGGCGGCCCGTCAGGAAGTCCAGGATCCAGTTGCAGAGGGAGGTGTTTAGTCCCAGGATCCTTAGCTTAGTGATGAGCTTTGAGGGCACTATGGTGTTGAACGCTGAGCTGTAGTCAATGAATAGCATTCTCACGTAGGTGTTCCTGTCGTCTTCATTTATAGTACAAATATCAAAGGATTCATTTACAAACAAATGTTCTAGGCCTACGTGGTACGCCATACAATCCACCCCATTAGATTGATGGTAAACAGGTTAATTCCAAAACAACTTGACCAAATTAAAGTAGGTGTTAATAAGAACAGGAAAATGCTAAAACAATGATAAACGTCATTGAAACTGTTCCCAAAGGCAGCAGGCTGTAAACCATTATTAGTACTTAAATTACATGCATCTAAAGCATGCAACGGAAGAACAAGTTACACACTGACTCATGGTACAGAGTATACAGTAAATTACAACTGTTCTCCTAATAGCAATTCTAACCTTAATACAGGCGGTCAGCTTTGTAGGAATAATGTCCCGGAAAGTACAATACTTATAAAAGGGTATCTTAATACAATTTTTAGGTCAGGTGGCAGCACATTTGCCCCTACTGGAAGTCAAAGGCAAATCAGTGCAGACTCTTCCCTGTGACAGCCCTTCCGAAAGACAGGGGAAGGGTAGGCAGTGGTGGACGAGTGGTGAGAGCCCGAACAAAACCCAGGAAGAAGACGACCAAGAAACCAAAGTTGACACCGCGGAGGAGGAGAGACAGGGGTCTGCAGGACCATGGGGACACGGACATGGGGCGGTTGGGGATAGCGTTTGGGGGCTCCTCACAGATGCGGACACACTTGCTGTCTCCGGGCAAGGCAGGGTTAGGCTTGGGGCTGCAGAGGGGTAACGGTGGGCCTCTCCTTTACACAAGGGTGGGCCTCTGCTTCCGTTTCGTCTTTCATGTGCTTGGGGAGCTCCATCTCCAGGACCATGGGCTCCTCTTTCTTCACCTCTGGGAAGTCACTAGAGATGTCTACAGGGAGTTTCTCGCACTTGCGCTTCTGAATAATATTTTTTATTCACCTCTAAAAACACAACATATGATTGAGTTAATACCTCTTACCTATTGTCTAAATGTTTAAAATATGTAAGTAATCACTGCACCTATGTGTTCCAGTAAATGTCACTATATAGGCAAATTTACCATCGGGCTCATATTTAAACTTAAACTCTTCCACTTGCAGCTTGATGTTGTCACTCTGGCTCTGGTTGAGGGCCCTCACTGCACTGAAAAGCTTTCTCTCCAGCTCCAGTTCTCTTTGACTCTCAGAGAGTGACTTCATTCTTTGCATGGACAACTCATCCCCCAGTCGCTCTGCATCCTTCCTACACACACACACACATAATCACAACAATCAAATGCTGACGCAGGTATGACAGCTCCAATTTTTATGCCGAACTTTAAATGTGGACCGTTTATGGGCAAACTGAAGGTCTTCTCCCACTCAGCATGTAAATACTAACTGTACACTAAAACCAGAGATAACTCACACAGTTTGAAAGTTGCATTTTCAGGTCAGTGTAGTAAGTCCCATCCCCGCTGTCCGTTTCCACTGGGGCTGCAGAGGGCTGTGCCTTCAATGTCATCTGCATAGACACAGTAACCAACAATTGACATAACTACACAATCACTGCATACTGTGAATCTGTTGCCCTATCACATGTTGTAGTGTTCTGGATTTGAATTGACCACAAATCACATTCATTCACTACAATGACTGGGCACCACGTATTGACAAGAAAGACGAATTGACTCAAAGGCAACAACTCCTGATGTCCTTAGCAGAGATGATTTCAGTGTGCAGAATTCCACAACAAAGTAACTTTGCATACATTCTTCCTTGTCTAGATTCAGCATATCCCCCAAATACTGCAAATGGTGTACAGAGATGTACAGGTAACCCAAACCCCATCACTGGCTGCCCAACCTTGTTATTGCACTCATTGAGCTCCATAGCATGGGTCCTCTCCAGCAGGGATTCCTGTTTCTCCCACTGCAGCCTCTGCTGGCTCTTGACCAAGTCGTAGTCGGAGCGCAGGCTGTCCTGCACACGGCTTGTCAGCTCCACTTCCCGCTGCAGAGAGTATTTCTCTTGCTCCTGGGCCTGAGAACCGACACACAGGAGACTATAGTCATACCTCTAACATCAACCCACTCCATCTGTGTTCTCATTCAAACCCTGTTCAACATTCCTGTAATATCAGTAGTAACAATATTCCTGTCATGCAATATAAGGATGATTACACCATTAATATTGGTCGTTTTTATGGAAAGCAGTTGTCTTATTTTGTAATGAGTTATACTGCTGCTGTCATAGCCTATTCATCAACTTTCAAGAAGACAGCTGCCTTTAACGATGTCAATCATTGCCCAGTGTGAATGATCACCTCCACAGTGTTGGTCATCTCTATCCGCTGTTCATCCAACTTGTTCTGCAGATTCAGCAGCTGAAGGCCATATTGGGTTGCTTTCTGCAGTGCACCGTCTGCTTCTTTCAACCTGTGTTGTAGTCGCTGGATCGCATCATCTCCTGAAGTAGACATCTTTCACAATTGAAGAGAAGCAACAAGAGAGAAATTTTACAGGAGCACTTATTAAGGAAGGTGTGGGACACACATTAAGTACAGCAATGGCGTCAGGTGGGATAGTTGTTCAATTATGTAAAGCATGTGGGCTATTCTGTGATTATAATATCTGATTAAATGAACAGAACAAACAAGGATGCCAAATAGATTAGTCTAATGGTGGACTAAAGACAAACCCGGAGCTAAACCGTGTTGCGAGAAAAATGGATAAAGAATGTAGCTAGTAGTAACTGCTCTACAACTGGGACTCAGTAACTGGGTCCTATTTAGTAGGCACGAAACTGGATAAAACGATGGTATACATATGCTTTCTAGTGAACAATGCAGCATACAACTGATAAACAACACTAACATTAGATAAAATATGTGTATCTGACAAGCTAGGCCTCATAGCTAGCTAGTAACTAGATATCAAGCTTTTTTTCCTCCTGATATTCGAGTTCACTAGCTCCATTAGCTAAACTCGTAATCTCGTCCACCAGCCGGCTCTCTCTGGCAATTGAGCCTGTGGACTAGATTAGCTAGCTAGCTTGCAAAATTGCAAGCTTACTGTTGATTGCGCAGTTACCCTCAGAGTGATCATATATTAAGAGGATAACTGGCAAGCTGTTTAGCTTGCAACCTTGCTTGTTAGCATACCTTGCCACCATGCCGTCAAAAAGGGCACAGTACCACCACACCTCACATATTTTTTTGTTTTCCACCGTCTACGGAACACGATTTGAATTCTGCTCCAGCCACAAGCCAAATATCGCGACAGATAATGAAACGTCTGTTGATCTGCCTTTCTACAAGGATCAATACTTTATGTCAATAATGCACAACGTGTGTTTGAAAATGTTCTGAACATGTAATACAGTCAAACATGTTTATTGCTATGATTATATTATCCCATAATCTGATTTTATTTTCCCAGGTGTGTCAATGTGTCATTTTCTTGACAATGCATTGCTGGCGATATATCTTTTATTTTATATTTTTACTTCAAATATGAACCCTATTACAATACTTACATTGTCTTTTTAACATATTGTATTTTATTCTAGGCATTAGGTTACAGTCATTGAGCAAACAGACATGGTAAACAATGTAGGCTAGGCCTATTGATTTGGTGCTTTAGATGGTTTGATCACCAGACACTTTCACATGCATCTCTGGGTGTGACATAACCTTTGTGAAACATGTCCAGTGATATATCCCTTGTTGTGGTGGAAATTAAATGTAATATGCAGTCTCTCACCTCACACTGAAACCACGTCCAACCTTCCAAACTCTTGCAGATCACTAAAGCTCAGACTATAGTGACTACAGAACTAAACACCAAAACATTTAAAATAAAAAAATGAAATACAAGTAGCACACAAACCTCACATTTAAGAACAGAACCTATGTTAACCCTGTGCCACTTGGTCAACTGGTTTTAGCTAAATGTAATTACTCAAACATATTTTAATAATCTAATCATGAATGCTTACTATTATACTTATTTAGTAGGTTTAGCAGATCGGATATACTTTATCTCATTTGTACTACCTCTTACTTAAGTGTTGCAGAGTTGCCAAATGTGTTCCACTAGAGGGAAGTATTACTACTCTGATATGATGCTTGCTTTTTATATTCTAACCATAATTGGAAAGAAATAGTTATTTCTTACCATCTAGTCTGGGTCTAACTAATGTAGGCCTAAAATAATTGTTTGACAAGGAGTTGTCGCTGAATATCAATATTAACATCACATAGTTCCAGATTGTACACTGTGAATTATATATAGCGCATTGAACAGTCTCTAACCCACCAGTTCATAAAAGCAGGAACAATTAGAGAGACAGAATACTTCAATCAAACTGAGGAAGACGATGCACATGATGAAGGCTGCTCATCAGTGAAAATAATAGTTTGAACGCTAGTGGCACCACAAGCCTCGATTGCCCCGGCAAGGACATTTTCGCATCTCCAGAGAATAGGGGCCTCCCCATTCAAACACAAATGAGCAGCAGCATAGGGTGATACCATGCCATTGTCTGAGGAGCTGACCACAGACGCTACCTCTGTTGTTGTGCAAATACATCCAATCAGTCTAACTATTTACATCAGGAACATCATCATTTCAATTTTAGATTGTGTAAAGGTTATATGCTGTTCAATTATGGCTTTTGTTTTATGCACTAGCTCCATAGTGCACCTTGAAAATAAAACAGTTTGTAACCTTTTCCTATTTTTATGCATTTTCCCCAATTGCAGTTTAGATTATGTAAAAGTTAAAGGCTATTGTTTTTCACTAACTTCATAGGACATCTCTCTCTCAAATTGTAAGTCTGAAGTAGACATCAAGGCACTCTAAACAGTTTTTCTTTCAACATATAATAGCTGGTTGGAAGCTGGCTTGGGGTATCATTTACACTGCAATTTATATAGGCAATTTGAAGCGATACAAGGAGGGGAATTTGCGTAAATGATGTGAATGGGGGGTAGAAATTCGCTAAATCACAACAAACTCAAGTTCTACAGACATAAATAAGAAACTAATTATAAAATTAAAATAAACTTTATTTCCTAAATTACTTTCCAACCCAAACAAGAACAAAAGATCATCCGTTTATTCACGACGATCAACGGGTGACTACGTGCTGCGCCAATGCACTAATCTACCCTACATATGAATTACGTTGAAAGGAGTACTTTGGAAGTTCTACAGATCAAATAATCGGCGCAGCGTTTTGCTACAACCTAACCCTCCTGAACAAGCCCAATGTCAGGGGCGTAACGGTGGTGTTGCTGTAGTCTGTCGTCACTATAACTTTGTTATAAATACGGCCTGGGCGCCATTTCCCTACCTCCAAGCTTTGCTGATACAGGTTTTCCGTCGAGCTAGCTACGCAGTAGTTTCTGTCAAGAAATGGACGCCGCAAATCAACTTTGCAAACTTTTTGTTGGTGGATTGAACGTAGATACCGACGATGACGGGCTCCGCAAGCATTTTGAGCAGTACGGTCAACTGACCGACTGCGTTGTGGTTGTGAATAAGCAGCTACAGAGGTCCCGCTGTTTCGGCTTTGTTACCTACTCGAGCGGGGAGGAGGCTGATGCAGCAATGGCGGCTAGGCCACATGTCGTTGATGGCACCAACGTGGAGTTGAAACGAGCGGTCGCTCGCGAAGATGCCGGTAAACCCGAGGCACTCGCCAAGGTCAAGAAAATATTCATTGGTGGACTGAAAGACGACATCGAAGATGAACATCTGAATGATTATTTTTCCCAGTTCGGCGAGATCGAGAAGGCCGAAGTTATCGCGGAGAAGGAAACCGGAAAGAAAAGGGGATTCGGCTTTGTTCACTTCACCGATAACGACTCCGCCGACAAGGCAGTGGTTGTAAAGTTCCACACCATCAATGGGCACAAGGTGGAAGTGAAGAAAGCCCTCACCAAGCAGGAGATGCAAGCTGGTGGTGGTGGCAGGGGAGGAAGAGGGGGGAGAGGCATGAGAGGAGGACAAAATGGCTTCGGTGGCGGCAGAGGTGGTTACGACAGCTATGGGGGCGGTTTCGGTGGGGGCTACGGGGGCAATAGCGGCGGATATGGCGGTGGCTACGGAAGTGGAGGCTATGGCGGTGGTTATGGAGGCGCAAGCTACGGAGGTGGCTACGGCGACCAGATGGGAGGTTATGGTGGCGGCAATGGCTACAGTGACTTTGGCAGTGGGTACAGCCAGCAGACCTCCGGGTATGGGCCCATGAAAGGCGGCAACAACTATGCCGGTAGGAGCCCTGCTCCATACGCCCCCAGAGGCGGTGCCGGTGGCTACAACAGAGGGGCTTATGGCGGTTACTAGACCCGTGGCTACGACAGACTATTTGCAAAGAAATCTCTTACACCCTCAACGGTCGGATCGGACGACATCAAACAGAACTAAAAAAAAATCAGTCATCGGGCATCTGCCATAAAGCATCTGGCAAAATGCCGACACTGTGAAACCTAATCATTAAGAAGACCTCAAAACCAAACAGGTAGGAAGATGACTTCCGACCCAGAACCTGATTAGCACGACCAGCTGTTGCTGTAGGAAAAGTTCGATTTCTCATTTATGTTCCAAGTTGAGGGCGTGTAGCTGTCGTTAGTTGGCCTGCTTTTTTTTATTTTATTATAGTTTTGCGTACATTCGTTTAAGTTTAGTCAAGGATTGTTTTGTTTGATACTATACTTTATCTTATCTACATTATAAACAATTAGTTCCGAATTTCCCTGGGATCTAATCTTTTTTTCAATGTATTGGGAATGGGAAGCATGTGCTATGGAGTTGTATTTATTCGCTATGACTCTGATGTAAATTTGTATTCTATCCACTACTAGCCTATAGGTTGTAGGTGACGCATAGGTGGTGGGGCGGATCCAGTTTAAACGTTTCATTCTTCTTGACAATGTTTTGTAAATCAACGAAGTACGTCACAGTAATTTCCCAACACATAGCGTCCAGTTATCAGCTTAATGTTCCTTTCATTTACTTCAGCAATATCTCATGTATATTGTATAATCTGTCTGAAGATCAAACTACAATTGTTAAGCATTGGTATGGATATGTATGTTCATTTTAAATAAAAAGTTAAACAAACTTAGCTAGTTATTTTACTCATTTTACCAGGATGCCTTAAATGGATAGTTCGGGGATTTTTACATAGCTTGATCTACTTCCTCAGGGTCAAATAATGTATACCACTTGTAATCGTCAGCGTCCAGTATGAAGGAAGTTGGTAGTATCGAGCGCCAATACTTAACTATTGCGCCAACGCTAGTTAGCAACTTCCATCAAACTGCACGCAGGTGCATAAAAATGGTATCTACGAGTTCATCTGACTGGGGAAGTAAAGGGCCGCGTTGCCAAAATCCCGAACTATCCGTGTAAGTCTACTTCTGATTGGTTATATTATGTGACTTATTTTAATATATTTAATACTAGCTTCATGGCATTTCTTTCATTGCTCTTCCCAGCTAAGGGGTGAAGAATCGATTGCAGTTAAGTTTGCCCATGGCCAATGCATGGAGGCTTTGTTGGTTGGCAATAACATATTGTTCCATAAAGTTAACAGACTTTTAACTTGTGGACCTGAGGGCTCTCATATTTATCTTTGATTCCTACATTTAGGTGTTCATACTGTTATCCAAGTACGTCAACATAGCAGTAGCAGTTTGACTTTATACAGGGACCCTGTTCTATACCTGGGGTCGATTGTCATAGGACTCTGAAATATCTCTTTAGGATCACATCAGCAAACTAGGTATGTAAATCAAACTGTCTTCACTATGTGTTGGTCAAGTATTAAAGATATGGATTTGAAATGGTACTCAACCGTACTGATTAGGATTCATTTATTGATCGTCTTTGCATTTATCAATAGTTGCTCTTTAGCCTTATGCATCTTTAGTTTTAAGAGGGGATTTTACTGCACTTACTTGGTCCTAAATAATCTAAAATAATGGGCTGAGGAGACTAAGTGCACTTCCTACATTAATGCAAATATATGGAATGGCACATGGTGTTACCTCCTGACTTGGCTTGACGTATTTATCGGCACTGTCTCATTCTTTACCCTTTTCCTCTCTCCTCCAGGTAGCCATGGTGACCTGACTGCCAGGACACCAATCTGGCAAAGCCGTGGTTTCCTTCAAGACCTTGGGGGGGACTGCAGCAAAGGCTGTCCCACTGCCACGGGTGATTTGGAACCCCTGGACATTCTGCCTAATGTGCACATACAAAATCTATTGTATTTACCAGGTTGCAATGATGGCCAGTGGGCTTATTCTAGTCAAGCTAGGTGGTTGATGTAATTGACTTGTTCTGTTCTTATCTGTTGTAGGAAAGTTGGGCATGAATGTTAGATCATCGCATACTATGGAAAGATGGACACCAATGATTACCTTGGCATGCTTATTTGTTTCAATTTAAATAAAACTATTTTTTTAAAGATTGACTTTGTTTTATTGGAACAGCTACAATGGGTTTGAAGGAACATTGTTGCATGGTAGTTTTGCCCTAGAATTGCACTTACACTTCCAATGTTTTTAAATAAAATTTATGCTATGTTTGGACATGCATCCCAATTCTATTTGTCCACTATTTGGTATTTTGAGCAATCTCAGCTTTTTTTAGTTTAATAGTCGCATGTACGGTGTTGCAGGTGTAATTGCAGGGTACAGTGAATCTTAAACTCTGCGCTCCAACAATGCAGGTCAAATTGAAATGGTGATAGTCCTGTGTAACTCAGTTGGTAGCGCATGGTGTTAGCAATGCCAGGGTTTGTTTCCCACGGTGGACCAGTATGTGGGGGGAAAAATTATGCACTCTAAGTCGCTCTGGAGAAGAGCTTCTGCTGAATGACAAATGTAAATAAATTATCAGAATTGGGTTGCCTGTCTTAACAGTCATTGATGCACATTTACGCCTAAACTAGTTCAAATTAAAGTTTTTCAAATCTCAACCACAATGTTGAAATGGGTCCATGTTGCATGGCATCTGCAGTTGTATGCCTCAAGCCTGACAATGGGAAATATGGACACCATACAGTGCCCTTTTTGTGACTGACTTCTCGAGCTGGCTCCATTACAGGTGGTGTATGTAATATGGGTTCTTGGCATTGGACCACTTTTGAGGTGTATTCGACAGGGTAGAATTTTCAGAAAATGACATCGGGAATACCTTTTCTGATTTCTACATATGATTAAAACCTAACCCCAAACCATTATCCTACATGTCCTATTATCTCTTGCCCTCATCACATCCCAGGGCATGTTACGCATGTGGACGTTGGTGATAGACGTCAAACCTGTCATGAATAGACGGCTAACTTTTTCTTATTCTACCTGTATAATTTTTAGGCAAAATTGATTTCTATATGCAAATTCAACAACATTGTGACCTGCTGAGCAGTGCCAGGATTATCTGTATGTCATGTAATGGTCTATCCCCTTAATCTTTCTTTACACTCACACTAATCCTGTGTGGCTCAGTTGGTAGAGCATGGCGTTTCCAACGCCAGGGTTGTGGGTTTAGTTCCTACAGGGGACCAGTATGAAAAATGTATGCAATCGATCTGGATAAGAGTGTCTGCTGAATTAATTTATTAAAGATGGCTATTTTTTCACACTTGAACGTGCAATGCCAGTCTTTTAATGGTTAGGGGAAATAAAGGTGTAACAGATGTAGTTCGGAAAGAAAGGTCGTCCACAATCTGAGGAGCATCAACCAAAAATCATTGGCATCAATCGTGCTTTAAATGCACACAGCAGTGTCATGATGTGCTAGAACTGACATGAGTGGACACGAATGACTAGAGTACTGATGTGAAAAAGACCTGGATTAGTGAAAGAAAATTCTAAGTAGATAATGGATATTCAGATCATTGCATATAAAGAGGAGATTGTATGAAACGAGAAGGATAAATGTACGAATTATGAGAATGGCTATTTGAATAAAATGAGGTGGGATTTGAGTGGAACAACCAATCAGAACTGTTGACGTATTTTCCAAACCTACGTCAGACGTCATTGCGTCGCCGGTAGCTTCTTTTAAAGCGGTGCGATTTTGTCAGGTTAAATTTTATTTGCTGTAAAACAACTCTGCTAGTAATCATGACGAACCAACTTTGTAAGCTGTTTGTCGGTGGATTGAACGTCGAGACTACAGACGATGGCCTTCGTCAACATTTCGAGCAGTATGGCCAGTTAACCGACTGCGTAGTGGTCCAGAACCAGCAGCTACAAAGATCCCGCTGTTTCGGCTTTGTAACCTACTCAAGTGCGGAGGAGGCCGACGCAGCCATGGCCGCCAGGCCACATGTCGTCGATGGGACCAACGTGGAATTAAAAAGGGCCGTTGCTCGTGAAGATGCCGGTAGACCAGAGGCACTCGCCAAAGTAAAGAAAATATTTATCGGTGGGCTGAAAGACGACATCGAAGACGAACATCTGAATGACTATTTCTCTCAGTTCGGCGCAATTGAGAAGGCCGAAGTCATCAGCGACAAAGAGACTTTCAAAAAAAGGGGGTTCGGCTTTGTCTACTTCGAAGATAATGACTCTGCCGACAAAGCGGTGGTGCTGAAGTTCCACACCATCAATGGGCACAAAGTGGAGGTGAAGAAGGCCCTCACCAAACAAGAGATGCAGTCAGCCGGTGGTCGTGGTGGCCGGGGAGGTAGAGGAATGAGGGGGTCTCAAAATGGCTACGACGGCGGAAGAGGTGGCGGCTACGGCAGCTATGGCGGTGGCTATGGAGGAAACGATAGCGGCTACGGTGGAGGATACGGCAACGGAGGTGGTTACGGTAACCAAGGGGGATACGGAGGAGGTTATGGTGATCAAATGGGGGGCAGTTATGGTGGGAACGGTTACAATGACTTTGGCGGAGATTATGGTCAGCAGTCTTCTGGTTATGGTGCAATGAAGGGGGGTAATTATTCAGGCAGGAGCGCTGCACCGTACTCCCGTGGAGGCGCCGGTGGCTATGGCAGGGGTGGATATGGTGGTTATTAGACACCGTTGACCTCTTAACCCCAAAATTTGAAATGTTCAGAATTTCTGATTCAATGAACTGAATTTACACACACGGGCCAGAGTGCCGTATTTCTTTGTTGCTCCAATTTAAAAGGACTCGCGCCCCTCACCCACCCTGATTTAACCCCTATCCTACTCCCTCCATCTGGACTACACCATTGTCCCTAGGCGGCGTTACTAAAGACATGGACTTTTACCAGTTCAACTTTCTGACTTGTCAATGTAGTTTCGTGATTCTTTTAAACATTTTTTTGTATTAAATTGTAGTTAACGTCCCTGCTTCAAGACTTTCCTATGATACTGTATGTCAGGGGTGTCAAACTCATTCCATGGAGGGCCTAGTGTCTGCAGGTTTTTCCCTCCATTCAATTACGCCCTAGGCTTCAAAGTGTGGTGAGTTCTTCACTAATTAGTGACCATAATTCATCAAGTACAAGGGAGGAGTGAAAACACCAGACACTTGGCCCTCTGTGGAATGAGTTTGACACCTGTGCTGTATGTCCTTAGTACGAGCAAGGTTAATAACAAGTCAAATTGCTTTGCAACATGAAACTCAGGGGTATTAATGGAGTTGAAAGCAGTCTTAGTGAATGCTTGAGTGGTTTAAGATCAAAATATTTTAAAGTATTTTGAGGAATTTAAATAACTATTATGGTTATTGTTTTTAATGGTTACCTCCTAAAACTTTCCTCTGTCCAATATGTGCTGTTTAATACCTTGTAAATCAATGCAGTTTTGTGGAATGTTACTAAAATCCTGAATTAGTTGACTCGAGCATCACTCCTTTGCCTGTATTAAAGTTTTTTTAATGTCAGTTTAACCATGTGGTATTTTGTTTTATAAGGGAAGAGAGCCAGGTCAAGGGTTCAGATTATTCAGGATCACTGTTCTATCATGAAGCAGTTGCACACCCTACAGACTGAAACACTATCACTGGTTACTTTCCTGTTCAGGAATAGACTAAACTGGCACCCTGTGGAAAAACTGGCCTACAGGCATACATTTTTTAAAGACCCTCCAGAATTTCCTGTTCTGTCTACAACCAGTCTTCCTTGAGGGAGGAGTGACCAACAACGTAATTGGAGGTATGCAAGGCAAGACTGTTACACTACCAACGGGTGTCTTTTCTAAAACTAGGTCTCTGAATCAATGAGGGATTTTTGGTTTATAATGAACATTTGTACAGGGACTAGGGTTTTGCAGGTAACATATCCCATGGCAATTGACAAATTTGTCTGACACTCAATTTGTTTGGATAGCAGTGAGGATTGTGATTTTTCTCAAGTACATCTGATATACTTAAGCAATAAAGCACGATGGGGTGTGGTATATGGCCAATATACCAAGGCTATGGGCTGTTCTTAAGCGTGACGCAACGCGGACCACAGCCCGTAGCCATGGTATATTGGCCATATACCACAAACCCCCAGGTGCCTTATTGCTATTATAAACTGGTTACCAACTTCATTAGAGCAGTACAAATACATGTTTCCATACCCGTGGTATACCACTGCTGTCAGCCAATCAGCTCGGGGCTCGAACCACCCAGTTTATAAAACCTATCAACACCCGGTTTTCTTGCTGCATACATTGCCAAACGTAAACGAGTCCGTATATCATTCTAGGTTGTCCTGTTCAAATTGAAAGAAAGTGGCTGACTTAATTTAGATTATTACAATGTGCCCGATCATTAGGTCCTTATGATTATGGAAAGCTGCAAAATACATGTTAGCGTTTACCTTTTTGCTGGCATGTATAGGCCCAATTAAACTACAATTTACAATAGCTCGCCTCTAGGAGGCTCGTAGACATGTAATCATTACGTCGACGCCAACCATTTGTCTACATCCGCCATTTTAGACACCGAGAGAAGGACCGTCAAAAGTCCATGTGTTAACATAGCCAGATAAATTGCATCAAAGCGAGATGGAAAATCAACTCTGCAAGCTCTTTATTGGTGGACTAAATGTTCACACCACTGACGATGGTCTTCGTAAACACTTTGAACAGTATGGCCAGCTGACCGATTGCGTAGTTGTTCAGAACCAGCAACTACAGCGGTCTCGCTGTTTTGGTTTTGTAACCTATGCTACTGCTGACGAAGCAGAAGCTGCAATGTCCGCGCGGCCTCATGCCCTGGATGGAAACAACGTTGAACTGAAAAGAGCAGTGGCACGTGAAGATGCGGGAAAACCAGAGGCTCTGGCCAAGGTTAAGAAAATATTTATCGGGGGTCTGAAAGAAGACATCGAGGATGAACATCTGAACGACTACTTCTCTCAGTTCGGTACTATCGAGAAGGCCGAGGTTATTAGCGATAATCAAACTGGTAAGAAGAGGGGGTTTGGTTTTGTTTATTTCGAAGATTATGATTCTGCCGACAAAGCGGTGGTTCTGAAGTTCCACAATATTAATGGCCATAAAGTAGAGGTGAAAAAAGCCCTCACCAAGCAAGAAATGCAGGCTGCTGGAACCCGTGGCGGGAGGGGAGGAAGGTTTCAAAATGGATACGGTGGTGGGAGAGGTGGTGGCTATGGCGGAGGTTATGGGGGCAGTGACGGCGGATACGGCGTGGGGTACAGTGGTGGCTACGGGGGAAGCTATGGCGACCAAATGGGTGGATACGGTGGGAACGCCTACAGCGACTTTGGAGGTGGCTATAGCGAGCAGTCATCTAGTTATGGCCCCATGAAAGGTAATTACTCGGGCAGAAGCAGCGCTCCTTACACCCGAGGTGGTGGTGGTGGTTACGGCAGGGGGGGGTACGATGGCGCATATTAGAGCCCATCAAATCTTACTCAAAGCAGCCCCGTTCCCTTAACAAAAATGATTACATCTTCATAACATAGTTCCCACCAAGCATTCTATAATGGCACGAGAGTGACTGAACACTGAGCCCAAGTGGTTCAGACAGGAAAGTTACTACAGTATTCACTATTCAAGGCTGACCCAAATAGGCAACGTTAGGGCCATCTAGCAACTAACTACAGATTCTCTTGGAGGCAGATGTCTACACCTCCATAGCAACTACAGATATCTGAAGCAGATGTCTCCACCTTCATAGCAACTACATTTCTCTAGGAGACAGCTGTCTTCACCTCCATAGCAACTACAGATCTCTCTCTAGAAGGCAGATGTCTTCACCCCCATAGCAACTACTGAGCTCTAGGAGGCAGATGTCTTCACTCCAAAGGTCTCAAATAACTTAGCTCTAAATGGCCATTATACATCCACCACAACTAATAGGACTACTCCTTTGGATTATTTTATTTTGAGCAGTGGACCACTGTTTGTATTTTGCCAAGATGCTGTTGAAATTAAGTTAATAATACCTCTCTGCTTGTTATCGCAGATCTGTTATTTTTGCTTTAATGTGTTGTAACTAAGTTACATTTTGTTTTAAATATTTGCATTTAAGTTGGAGTGTTATTAATATGGGACGCCATGTTTGACTTAGCCATGTAGTCAATTGCAGTGAACTTGATGGCATCCTTTTCTGCATCTAATTAGTTTAAAGGTAACTTAAGTTATTTTGCCCATACATTTCTTACTTGCCCCAGCACTATACCAAAGTATATGACAAATCTGCCCAATGCCATTTGGTCTCAAAGGGAAATCTCCACACAGTATTTAGACTATAAGGACTAGGTCACGTTTTTTAATATTCTAGGTTCACTGCTGTTACCCAAATATAGGCTATTTGTTGTAGTGTTTGACTTGTGATTCCCATTTAGTATGAATATTAAATACTTGTAACATTACTATGATCACTGTTATAGTTGTTACCATGAACATATTCTCAATTCTCAACTACTTCAAATTCTGTAAACAGATGTTACTTAAGCTTTCCAGTTTGTCTATTTTACAGTAGAACCACAAATGACTTCAGTAAGGATTTATCTTTACGCTTCTGTCTTGTGTATTTTTGGTGAACAGAGTTAAACGTATTATTGTTTTTCAGTAAACTGTGTGTAATATATCCATCTAATAAACCCTTCTATATAGAAATTAATTAGACCTTAAGTACTTTGAATTAAATCAGGTAAAACTTAGGGTATGAAACAACAGTAAGTAACCTGCTGTGGTATGGAAAACGTTATCAGGGTTTGTGCGTTAAGCGCCTTGAAATTAATTCCTAGATTTCTATGAATGTATTCTTAATACTAATTGGATTTGCTAGCCACTCATGTTTTGATATTCAAGTAGCTCTTAGGCAAAACATTTCTATTCAATCAATCAGATTTGGTAGAGTAATGAATAGACTATTTTTCTATGTCTTTGACCATATATGTATTATGTCCAGAATGTCTTTATTCTTCCAATGCTAGAGCTCTGTTCCAACACTCTACGGGCCCGATTCCGACTTAGGAAATGACACCTATGCACTTCTCGGTAGCTGGTATTCAGACTTACCGTATGAAGGTGTGAAACAGGCTTTGCAGGCGTGGTTCCCTTGCGCGCACTGAATACATTTAATTCAAGCACATTATTTACATTTTAGTCATTTAGCAGACGCTCTTATCCAGAGCGACTTACAGTTAGTGAGTGCATACATTATTTTTTTTATTTTTCATACTTGCCCCCCGTGGGAATCGAATCCACAACCCTGGCGTTGCAAACGCCATGCTCTACCAACTGAGCTACATCCCTGCCGGCCATTCCCTCCCCTACCCTGGACGACGCTGGGCCAATTGTGCGCCGCCCCATGGGTCTCCCGGTCGCGGCCGGCTATGACAGAGCCTGGATTCGAACCAGGATCTCTAGTGGCACAGCTAGCACTGCGATGCAGTGCCTTAGACCACTGCGCCACTCGGGAGACTGTAATAATAGAGAGAATTGTGTACAATAGTAGGTTATACCCTTATCTATTGCCTGCACTAACCATGGAACTGTGTGATGACACAGCCATGTGTTCCGCCGTGTGTCGGGAATTAAACTGTTATGACTTGGTCTGCGCTCTGCTCCATAACGATTTAATTAGCCTACATGTCATATATATGTATACACACAAAAGTATGTAGACACCCCTTCAAATTAGTGGATTCGGCGGCTATTTCAGCCACACCCGTTGCTGGCAGGGGTATAAAATCGAGCGCAAAGCCATGCAATCTCCATAGACAAACATTGGCAGTAGAATGGTCTTACTGAAGAGCTCAGTGACTTTCAACGTGGCATCGTCATAGGATAACACCTTTCCAACAAGTCAGTTTGTCAAATGTATGCCCTGCTAGGGCTGCCCCGGTCAACTGTAAGTGCTATTATTGTGAAGTGGAAACGTCTAGGAGCAACAACGGCTCAGCCGCGAAGTGGTAGGCCACACAAGCTCACAGAATAGGACTGCAGAGTGCTGAAGTGCGTAGCGCGTAAAAATAGTCTGTCCTCGGTTGCAACACTCACTACTGAGTTCCAAACTGCTTCTGGAAGCAACGTCAGCACAATAACTTTGTCGGGAGCTTCATGAAATGGGTTTCCATGGCCGAGCAGCCGCACACATGCGCAATGCCAAGCGTCGGCTGGAGTGGTGTAAAGCTCACCGCCATTGGACTCTGAAGCAGTGGAAATGTGTTCTCTGGAGTGATGAATCACGCTTCACCATCTAGCAGTCCGACGGACACATCTGGGTTTGGCTGATGGCAGGAGAATGTTACCTGCCTGAATGCATAGTGCCAACTGTAAAGTTTGGTGGAGGAGGAATAATGGTCTGTGGCTGTTATTCATGGTTCGGGCTAGGCCCATTAGTTCTAGTGAAGTTAAATCTTAACGCTACAGCATACAATGACATTCTAGATGATTCTGTGCTTCCAACTTTGTGGCAACTGTTTGGGGAAGGCCCTTTCCAGTTTCAGCATGACAATGCCACCGTGCACAAAGCAAGGTCCATACAGAAATGGTTTGTCGAGATCGGTGTGGAAGAACTTGACTGGCTTGCACAGAGCCCTGACCTCAACCCCATCAAACACCTTTGGGATGAATCGGAACACCGACTGCAGGCCTAATTGCCCAACATCAGTGCCTGACCTCAATAAGGCTCTTGTGGCTGAATGGAAGCAAGTCCCCGCAGCAATGTTCCAACATCTAGTGGAAAGCCTTCCCAGAAGAGTGAAGGCTGTTATAGCAGCAAAGGGGGGACCAACTCCATATTAATGTCCATGATTTTGGAATGAGATGTTCAATGAACAGATGTACACATACTTTTGGTCATGTAGTGTATATAATCAACTGTTACTAATGATCCTCAGCAACAACCACATGGCCGTGACAGCATTTACAGAGGAGGCAAATGAAGGTAAACGAAACAATGTAATTAAATGGAATGATAATGTAGGCTATACCAACTGAAGGGAACTAACAGTAAATTGGCAGTTGAATATGTGTTATTAGGCCTACTGACGGTCAATACTGTAAGTGGCTAATATTTAACATGATAGAAATAGGAAACTGAGAAAGTAGGGGTAGACTATAATTAAGACATTTGAGTGCCCATCCCTGCAAGTTAAAAGGCCGTACAATTTAAATTATGCATAATGGCACAGCATTTCGTGAACTTCACTGTAGGAAAGTTGATATGCTTCAGTTTGCTGCCATATGACTGGTTTTACAGTTTGTCTCCAGCGATTATAAGGTAAAATAAATCTAAAATGAGTGTCATTTATATTTAAAATTCCCTTATCCAAACGGATTACTCATTTACCTAGCTATTATTAAGTTGTAATTGACAGTCAATGTTATTTCTAAGAAAAAATAAAGTAGATGCTTTTTCCAATTGAAACCGGTAGGTTTGCTAGACCTTATTCATGGTTTCCTCACGCGTAAAGGTGGTGGAATTATTAGAGAATTAAGTCAAGGTCAGAATACGCATAGAGAGAAAAGTGCATAAAAAGGGAATTATGTTCCATTTACACGTGCTTAACTTGGGTCGGAATCGGGCCCTTGGTGAACAAGTAGGCTGGATACCTTAGCTGTGTCTTCTACGTCATGGGAATCTCAAGGTACTCCGAGCTCTAGAATTCCAGCTGAAAGTCCATAGGATATGCTTCCATAGGATATCAGGTTTGTTACAATACATGCATCATTGAAATAGTCCTGGGCCTATTCCACTTCACTGGGAAACAGATTTTTTTCCTGTCTGGATGACAATTTCAAAATGTTCTCTCTTACTTTCCACAGAGTTGTCAAAATGGATAGATTATGACACATTCTTCCTCCAATGTCCTGCTGGTTGATGAGGATCGCCAGGGATTGATTGGACCAAGATGAGGACAAGTTCCTATAAGGAGGAAAACTCTATGGCATCGGGACGACTAAGGTGAGTTTACTAATTTGCTTATTACAGAGCCATTTTGTAATGTACTTCGATATGGCCTACACATTTTCATTGATTCACAGTGCTTCATTTAAGTCAAGGAACTTCCTTATGTTTTTTGTCTTTAGCCTAAGGAGGGCAGCATTTCTTTGCTCATAAAGGGTGAATGACTATTTTGGTTAAATTTGGTTAAATTGCCAATGGATAGTTAGCTGGATACTACATGGGTTTGAGAAATAGTTTTAATGGTTATCTATTCCAATGTATTTTGATAGATGTGACCCCAGACTGTGCTGATCCAGCTCCTGTGGTCCTGTCATCACAGGATGAAGAAATATGTCTGTAAAATGGGCCCCGTGTAGCTCAGTTGGTAGAGCATGGCGCTTGCAACGCCAGGGTTGTGGGTTCGTTTCCCACGGGGGGCCAGTATGAAAATATATGCACTCACTAACTAAGTCCCTCTGGATAAGAGCGTCTGCTAAATGACTAAAATGTAAATGTGAGATGCAGGAGTTTTTTTAAGGACCTAATATCCATCTGTTGGGAAGGTTGAAACTTTCACTGAATCATTCAGATGTGTATCCTTGTTTTATTCCGTATGTGGAATCAATTGCACTGCTTGTACTGTACTGTGATGGTATTGTAAGTCGCTCTGGATAAGAGCGTCTGCTAAATGACTTAAATGTAAATGTAAATGTATTAGTCGATTCAATAAATATCTATATTTTTGAAACCTATACTTTCTTAATTCTTCTCAAATGTAAAGTGGTGCTTATGACAGTGTACTAAGCTACTTTTGATGTCATTTTAGATGCATGCTGTTTCATCTTGTAAGCCACCTTGAACCATGGCTTGTAAACAAAGTGAAACACATTTTCACATTTCAAGTTTACTGACCCTCACTCAGTTGACCCTAGACTATAGCTTCTACACTATTTTGCTAGCTAAAGCTTTGAGTGAGATAGTTAGGCTATTCACAATAATTCACTCAAATAACCTCATATTGTTTAGCTAATACAAGTATTCAGACCCATTGACTTTTTCCACATTTTGTTACGTTACAGCCTTATTCTAAAATTGATTAAATACAAAAAATCCTCATAAATCTACACACAATATACCCCATAATGATAAAGTAAAACAGGTTTTGAGAAATCTTTGCACATTTATAAAAAATTAAAAGCAGAAATACCTTATTTACATAAGTATTCAGACCCTTTGCTATGAGACTCGAAATTGAGCTCGGGTGCATCCTGTTTCCATTGATCATCATTGAGATGTTTCTACAACTTGATTGGAGTCCACCTGTGGTAAATTATATTAATTGGACATGAGTTGGAAAGGCACACACCTGTCTATATAATGTCCCACAGTAGACTGCATGTCAGAGCAAAAACTCTTCCTAAAGCTGGCCGCCCGGCCAAGCTGAGCAGTCGGGGGAGAAGGGCCTTTGTCAGGGAGGTGACCAAGAAACCGATGGTCACTCTGACAGAGCTCCAGAGTTCCTCTGTGGAGATAGGAGAACCTTCCAGAAGGACAACCATCTCTGCAGCACTCCACCAATCAGGCCTTTTATGGTAGAGTGGCCAGACGGAAGCCACTCCTCAGTAAAAGGCACGGAAGCCAGCTTGGAGTTTGCCAAAAGGCACGACAGCCTGCTTGGAGTTTGCCAAAATACTCTCAGACCATGAGAAACAAGATTCTCTTGTCTAATTAAACCAATATTGAACTCTTTGGCCTGAATGCCAAGTGTTACGTCTGGAGGAAACCTGGCACCATCCCTACGGTGAAGCATGGTGGTGGCAGCATTATGCTGAAGGATGTTTTTCAGCGGCAGGGACTGGGAGACCAGTCAGGATCGAGGGAAAGATGAACGAAGCAAAGTACAGAGAGATCCTTGATGAAAACCTACTCAGGACCTCAGACTGGGGCGAAGGTTCACCTTCCAACAGGACAACGGCCCTAAGCACACAGCCAAGACAACGCAGGAGAGGCTTCGGGACAAGTCTCTGAATGTCCTTGAGTGGCCCAGCCAGAGCCCGGACATGAACCTGAGCTAACTTCTCTGGAGAGACCTGAAAATAGCTGTGAAGCGACGCTCCCCATCCAACCTGACAGAGCTTGAGAGGATGTGCAGAGAAGAATGGGAGAAACTCCCCAAATACAGGTGTGCCAAGGTTGTAGGGTCATACCCAATAAGACTCAAGGCTGTAATCGCTGCCAAAGGTGCTTCAACAAAGTACTGAATAAAGGGTCTGAATACTTATGTAAATGTTATATTTCCGTTTTTTTTGTACAAAAATGGTATTGTGTGTAGATTGATGATGGGGTATTTTGTGTAGATTGATGATGGAAAAAAAACCATGTAATCTATTTTAGAATAAGGCTGTAATGTAACAAAATATGGAAAAAGTCAAGGGGTCTGAATACTTTCCGAATGCACTGTATATCAATATTCTAAAGGTGATCTGATTAATGTTGATATTATTAGCTATAAAGTTACCTCATGAATAGGTACTTTGTAACCGACTGTCCCAAGGACATCTCTTGGATGGATATTTCTTATCCTCACCCCTGACACGCCGTAACCTAGCAACGCGGGAGCAAGTGGAACCAAGATGTTACTCTCCGGTGGAACATGTCTTTGCGGATTGAAAGGGGGCCGGATGAAGCAGCAGTGGTGACTAGGGAAAACATTCTCTGCCCTTCCTTCATCAGTTGTCAGAAAATAACACCTTTTGTAATAGTTTAGGGTAAAAAGAAAAGAAGCAGTGGGAAGATGCCTGTTTATTATTAGCTAGGTTTATTTGTCAGCTAATGAATGAGTCAAGATTCGATAATAAACTATTTCATTCTAGTGTTGTGTTGGACTTCGTTTGGACGATTCATTTTGTGCATGGGCCCGTAGCCAGCCTCTCCCCTGTACCTATGCAGCACATCTGATATCATGGACTGTGTAACCTTGGGGTAAGTTGCCATAATCGTCGGGATGAAAGTGTACCCTTCTGATGAATTCCGTACAGATGTTGTCGGATAACTTGCTACATAATTTAGAGAGATTTGGCATTTTCTATGAATAGCTGGATGACTTGCTAGCTTAGCTAGCTAACTCACGTTACTGTACTGCACTGCCTCATTGGTTTGTCGATGTGGTTCTAGTATTAGCAATCTAAGCGAAAAGCGTGAGCAAAAGGAAGCCCAAGACAGCTGTATGTTACCTATGTACGTTGTTAGTACGTTTGTCAATAAGAGTGGCACATACTTATTGTAGCGTGGTTCTAGTAACCAAGTACTAGCTAGCGAAAGAGCTGCCAAATGACTAGCTAGTGACGAACATCAGCTGCTATTGTGTTAGCATACACAAGCGTTAACGTTAGCCAGCTAGCAACTGTAGCTACTGTATTGAAGCATACATTACAATGTCATTACAATACTTTATTGTAATTTAAAATGCACGTTCAGTTATTTTGAGCAACACTAACTTAACTCCAGCTTTGTCTTTGGAATGACAGTGGGATTTTGCTACTACCATTTTTGTACAAGTCAAAGGGCTGGGGTTATGACTGAGGTTAATGATCTTTGAGGTATCTTGGGTATGCCTATTCATGTCCAGTTTATTATCCGTGACCAGTCGAGAATCTAGTGACCAGCAGCCGACCTGTGACTCCGAGGAAGATGCCATGGATGTGGGGATGCACACCTTCAACCACACCCATATGAGAAAGGCATTTCAGCTGATGAATGACATGAGGAGGTAGGTTGGTTTCACCCCTGCCTAGGGTCCCCTTTTTTCATCACTGAAAATAAGCCGTAATGGCCTTTGTAAGATGTTGATATAACCCAGTGTCATTATACACAGTAATAGCCAACACATTATACATAATGGCCTATCCTTGGCACTGAGTAGCCTACTTTGCAATGAATGACCTAGTACTACAGTGACCTCTGCACACAGCTGGAGCACTTATATCATTTTAACATTTTAAATATAATAAATAATAATAATATGCCATTTAGCAGACGCTTTTATCCAAAGTGACTTACAGTCATGTGTGCATACATTTTTACGTATGGGTGGTCCCGGGGATCGAACCCACTACCCTGGCGTTACAAGCGACATGCTCTACCAATTGAGCTACAGTCATTTAGCAGACGCTCTTATCCAGAGTGCATACATTTTTTTCTTTCTGTTGACAGTTATTTACAAATCATCAGTATGATGTTGACAGTTATTTACAAATCATCAGTATGATGTTGACAGTTATTTACAAATCATCAGTATGGTGATTTGGGAAAACACTGTTCAACCATCATCTTTTGTGTTTACAGTAAGAATATGCTGTGCGATGTTCTGTTGGTGGCGGGAAACGTAGAGGTGACAGCTCACAAATTGGTGCTAGCCTCCTGCAGCCCCTACTTCTGTGCCATGTTCACAGGTATTAGCCTTCCTACAGTTCATGGTAAATAGACTGTACTGTATACGTTTATGTGTATAGGCTACATTTGTCATCATTGTGAAAGCCGTGGGTCAAGTGAAACATGTTGTGAAAGTGAAGCCCACTTTATTGTGACAGTGAGATGATTGTTTTCCTCATGTCACATAAAACCTTCTCAAGTGGGTTCTCTCACTGTGTGTGGCGGACAGGGGACATGAGTGAGAGCAAAGCCCAGCAGGTGGAGATCAGGGATGTGGATGGCCAGACACTAAAAAAACTGGTGGACTATATCTATACAGCTATGATTGAAGTAACTGAGGACAACGTTCAGGTGAGCTACAGCTTCCCTATCTGTGTCCTCCGACATGTTTAAGTGGAGTCAATGGATTCTTTCATGTTGCTTTGGCATTCCTTCATTGGTCTCTTCAGAATTAGACTTTTTATGTGGCATAAAGTTGTCTCCCCCCTCCCCAGTCCATTCCCTTTCTCCAGCATTGACAGTCTGCTCCTTCATTCCTTGCTGTCAAGGCCAGGGTTTCAGCAGGCAGGGCTTTTCCTCTTATTATTGACTCAGGAAATGTGCATGAAGCGAGAGGAAATCCTCTCAATGTTTGCAACATGCCTGCTTTGTGTGTGTGTGTGTGTTTTAGTGGCATCCAAGCCTTGTCGTAAGACTGGATCATTTTTAATTATGTGTGTGTGGTGCTACGGTACTGTCGGTGTGGGCTCTCTCAGAATGTGTGGGCCACAACTGCTGAAAACACCCACCTATAATAGTCAGCCTGCAGCTCCCTGTTCAGACCTAAGCGCAACAGGCCAAAACAAAATCACATGCCTAAATTAAAGGAGAGCCTAGCAGAGTGACCTAGTTTCTGTGTGCCTGCCTGTGTGGGGATGTGGACAAATGGGAGCGCTGGGCTCCCTGTAAAAGCACAAAATAGTACTGAAGGACTGGCAGGCTAGAGGCTAATAAACCAGAGAAGCCAAATGTCTCCTTTAGAATTGACCACTGTGTACCACCAGTACACATTATTCCAGTTGTCCGGCTATAGTCTGAGAGCCAGGGCTGCAGAGTTCTCCTGTAATCCCTGCTGTCTCTGTTTTGGGTTTTTCCCAGCTTAAGCTCATATCCTAGTAAATATGTGGCTGTTTCTGACCCTTTGTCCAGTGAGTGGCACTGACATCATGGATCATGGCCCCCTGTAGATAAAGTCTGGGCTCCATTTGGGTTGCCCTTAATTATGGTATTAACTCTACTCTGGAATTGAATTGAAATGAGTCTGCCTCCCATAGATTCCTCAAACCACTGAATAGTATTAAAATCCTCTGAATTCTAATTGAAAACGTGGAGATTTGCTTGGCATTAGAAATGAATGACAAGGAGATCATTTTCCTGCTATGTATTCTATTAATTGACCTGATGATATTGTCTTGTATTGGGCCTGCCTTCTCTCTGATGGCTGATCTGAGAGTGTCCAGTCTCCTGCTGCGTGTTCTGACCCCTGTGTTGTGTCTCTGTAGGTGCTCCTGCCTGCAGCCAGCCTCCTGCAGCTGATGGACGTGAGGCAGGTGTGCTGCGAGTTCCTGCAGAGCCAGCTGCACCCCACCAACTGTCTGGGCATTCGAGCCTTTGCCGACCTCCACACCTGCACACAGCTCCTCAACCAGTCCCATGCCTATGCTGGTGAGTGGAGCCCCACCTCACTTCTAGGTTTCACCAGGCAGAGAGAGTAAGCTTAGCGGAGGGGATGGAGAAACTGCCCTCTGTCTTGGTCAGTCAGTACCAACAGATTGCCGTTAAAAAGCATACAGTGGGTATTTATGACAGACTACTTTGAGCTTCAAGTGAAGGGAGTTCTTGACTCAGACTGCTTTTAGAAGATGTGACCCACCCTGGTCCTGTTTTGCATGGACATTGTTCTGCGCAAACCTTCTATCCCATCTAAATGTCAACAGAATATCAAATTTGACCTTACATTGTAGAGACGTGGTAAACTGCTGGGGCTTGCTGGCCGTATGCTGATAACCTTTGTCATTGCTCAGGGGTGTAACGGACCATGAACAGCCTATGTGTTTGTGTTTGTCTAACCGTGTGCTTGTGTTTGTTTAACAGAGCAGCATTTTTCCGAGGTGATGCTGGGAGAGGAGTTCATGGGCCTGTCTCTGCAGCAGGTGTGCAGTCTCATATCCAGCGACAAACTCACCGTGTCCACAGAGGAGAAGGTAGGCCAGCCACCAGAACATCCCAAACCAAACCCAAACACCCCTCTGCTTCCTTTCTGTTCAGGGACACACTGCAGGCTCATATCCTATCCTAAGTGAGGACTACTTTATTTCCCATAACTATGGAAGACAAGTGCACACCGGCAACTCACCGTGACAACAGAGTCCCCGTCACTCACCGTGACTAGAGTCCCCATCACTCCCTCCTGCTGTAAGAGGACCAGAGTGACTTACCACAGAGAGAAAGAGAGCTCGACCTGAGCTGTTACTGTTGCTACTACTGCTGCTACTTCTGATACTGCTGTTACTGCTACTGTTGCCACTGCTGTTGCTACTGACAACAGACTCCTCATCACTCACCATGACAACAGACTCCTCATCACTCACCGTGACAACAGAGGCCCCAACACTCCCTCTTCTTCAACCCACATGTACACAACAACATGACACCAGTCCTGTCTCTATTATCTGGCCCCCCGTCTCCTGTCTATCCAATCACAGCTCTGATCCTATCTATCTTCAGGGAATAGAGCAGGAGAGTGGAGGAGCAGGTTGGATGAGCTAGAGAGAGGGATGGCAGATGGCTGTCTCAGTCTGTCTTCAGATAAATGAGGGGAGTCACAGCACCAGTTACATTCAGTTCCTGTTCCCCTCCTGGTAAATGTAATTAACCCTTTGTGTTCTCTCTCTCTCCTCAGGTATTTGAGGCCATTGTTGCTTGGATAAAGCACGACAAGGACGCTCGTCTGGAGCACATGCCAAAGCTAATGGAGCACGTTCGTCTGCCACTACTGTCCAGAGATGACCTAGTACAGGTGGGTCCTACTGTCCAGAGATGACCTAGTACAGGTGGGTCCTACTGTCCAGAGATGACCTAGTACAGGTGGGTCCTTCTGTCCAGAGATGACCTAGTACAGGTGGGTCCTTCTCTTCCAGAGATGACCTAGTACAGGTAGGTCCTTCTGTCCAGAGATGACCTAGTACAGGTGGGTCCTTCTGTCCAGAGATGACCTAGTACAGGTGGGTCCTTCTGTCCAGAGATGACCTAGTACAGGTGGGTCCTTCTGTCCAGAGATGACCTAGTACAGGTAGGTCCTTCTGTCCAGAGATGACCTAGTACAGGTGGGTCCTTCTGTCCAGAGATGACCTAGTACAGGTAGGTCCTTCTGTCCAGAGATGACCTAGTACAGGTGGGTCCTTCTGTCCAGAGATGACCTAGTACAGGTAGGTCCTTCTGTCCAGAGATGACCTAGTACAGGTGGGTCCTTCTGTCCAGAGATGACCTAGTACAGGTGGGTCCTTCTGTCCAGAGATGACCTAGTACAGGTGGGTCCTTCTGTCCAGAGATGACCTAGTACAGGTGGGTCCTTCTGTCCAGAGATGACCTAGTACAGGTGGGTCCTTCTGTCCAGAGATGACCTAGTACAGGTAGGTCCTTCTGTCCAGAGATGACCTAGTACAGGTGGGTCCTTCTGTCCAGAGATGACCTAGTACAGGTGGGTCCTTCTGTCCAGAGATGACCTAGTACAGGTGGGTCCTTCTGTCCAGAGATGACCTAGTACAGGTGGGTCCTTCTGTCCAGAGATTTCCTAGTACAGGTGGGTCACTCAGCACCACCATTCACCTTGTTGTCACATAGCATTAATAATTAATCAAGCACCCACATGCTCCATCATACAAATCAAACTGTGATATGTGAAAACCCACTGCATTGTTTTATTCCAGATGGTGAACTTGACAGATGGTGAACTTTGTGCTTGTTTCGTGTGTCTGTATTGCTCACTGTGCTGTGTCCTGTGGAGCAGATAGTGGAGAAGGAGGCCTTGATTAAGAACAACAACTCCTGTAAGGACTTCCTGATCGAGGCCATGAAGTACCACCTCCTACCCGCTGACCAGCGCCACCTCATCAAGACCGACCGGACACGCCCACGCACGCCTATCAGCCTGCCCAAGGTCAGACAACACGTGCATCACACACACACACACACACACACACACACGTTTGTTTTACTATCCTTGTGGGGACCAAAACATTTATTCCCATAAAAAATCTTATTTTCCTTAACCTAACCTTAACCCCTAACCCTAATTGTAACCCTAAACCTAACCCCTAAGCCTAAAATAGCATTTTTCCGTGTGAGGACTTCTGGTACCCACAAGGATAGTAAATCCAAACCACACACACACATTACTATCCTTGTGGGGACCAAACATTTATTTCCATTCAAAGTCCTATTTTCCCTTACCCTTACCCTAACTCCTAACCCCTAACCCTAATTGTAACCCTAAACCTAACCCCTAAGCCTAAAATATTTTTTACTTGTTGGAGCTGGGAAATGGGAGGGAGGATGTTCCTTATATTACTACCCTTGTGGGGATTTCCGGTACCCACGAGGAGAGTAATACAAGGCCAAAAACACACACACAAAGTTATTTATACCCTCTGACTTTGACATTATCTGAACCAACCGGAGCCCTATTGTTGTGTTAGGTGATGATAGTGGTGGGTGGGCAGGCTCCTAAGGCCATCCGTAGTGTGGAGTGCTATGACTTCCTGGAGGACCGCTGGTACCAGGTGGCTGACCTGCCGTCCAGACGCTGTCGGGCAGGTAAACACACCTCCCTCTGGCCACTACTACCTCTGAAATCACACACTCCTCTCTGACTTGTCTGTTCTACTGGGGAAACCTAAAAGCCTTTAACGTCTCTCTCTCTCTCTCAGGTGTGGTGTTCATGGCAGGGAGGGTGTATGCTGTGGGAGGCTTCAATGGCTCGTTGCGAGTCAGAACGGTGGACATGTACGACGGGATGAGAGACCAGTGGACCACAGTACCCAGCATGCAAGAGCGACGCAGCACTCTGGGGGCAGCCGTGCTGGGGGACCTGCTCTACGCTGTGGGGGGCTTCGACGGGAGCACAGGTACCCAGTCCTTACCCCCCCCTTAACCCTCTTCTCCTCCCCTCGCCCAGTGTTGTGCCCTGCTTTCAGAAGGTACATTAGAGCTGCTTTGTTAAGAGCCTTTCTCCCTCCATCTCAGGCCTGTCGTCAGTGGAGGCTTACAGCTATAAGACCAATGAGTGGATTTTTGTTGCTCCCATGAACACGAGACGCAGTAGTGTCGGAGTGGGAGTGGTGGACGGTAAGAGAAGAATCGTGTGTGTCAACAGTGCTTTTTGTGAGCTTCTCTTCAGTGTCCATATAGAGCTTCTCCTCAGTGTCTATATAGAGCTTCTCATCAGTGTCTATATAGAGCTTCTCCTCAGTGTCCATATAGAGCTTCTCCTCAGTGTCCATATAGAGCTTCTCCTCAGTGTCTATATAGAGCTTCTCTTGAGTGTCCATATAGAGCTTCTCCTCAGTGTCCATATAGAGCTTCTCCTCAGTGTCTATATAGAGCTTCTCCTCAGTGTCTATATAGAGCTTCTCTTGAGTGTCCATATAGAGCTTCTCTTCAGTGTCTATATAGAGCTTCTCCTCAGTGTCTATATAGAGCTTCTCCTCAGTGTCCATATAGAGCTTCTCCTCAGTGTCTATATAGAGCTTCTCTTGAGTGTCCATATAGAGCTTCTCTTGAGTGTCCATATAGAGCTTCTCTTGAGTGTCCATATAGAGCTTCTCTTCAGTGTCTATATAGAGCTTCTCCTCAGTGTCTATATAGAGCTTCTCCTCAGTGTCTATATAGAGCTTCTCCTCAGAGTCTATATAGAGCTTCTCATCAGAGTATACACTGAGTATACCAAACATTAGGAACAGCTTCCTAATATTGAGTGCACCCCCCCCCCTCCCCCTTTTGCCCGCAGAATAGCCTCAATTTGTCGGGGCATGGACTTTACAAGGTGTTGAAAGCGTTCCACAGGGATGCTGGCCCATGTTGACTCCAATGTTTCCCACAGTTATGTCAAGTTGGCTGGATGGACTATTTTTGATACACACGGGAAACTGTTGAGCGTGAAAAACCCAGCAGCGTTGCAGTTCTTGACACAAACCGGTGCGCCTGGCATCTACTACCATACCCCATTCAAAGGCACTTACATTTTTTGTCTTGCCCATTCACCCTCTGAATGGCACACATACACAATCCATGTCTCATTGTCTCAAGGCTTAAAACGTATTCTTTAACCTGTCTCCTCCCCTTCATCTACACTGATTGAAGTAGATTTAACAGGTGAAATCAATAAGGGATCATAGCTTTCACCTGGATTCACCTGGTCAGTCTATTTCATGGAAAGAGCAGGTGTTCCTAATGTTTTGTCCACTCAGTGTCTATAGAGCTGTGTGTTTCTGTGCCTGTGTATTTGTCAGTGGGCGTGTGTTGGTTTCCTGTCTGCGGTTGTACATTGAGCATCTCTTTGTATGTGTTCCTCGTTGTATTCCTCAGTCGGTGTGTATTGTGTTGTACAGGGAAGCTGTATGCGGTGGGTGGCTACGACGGGGCTTCACGCCAGTGTCTCAGCACGGTGGAGGAGTACAACCCAGTCAGTAACCAGTGGGGCTACATGGCTGACATGAGCACCAGACGCAGCGGAGCAGGTACAGACACCCCTCACCATCAACAACCCTCTCCTTATCACAGACTAGCTATCCTACATGTTTAGAAGCAGGCAATGCTACCTCTGTGGCTTGCGGACACACTACACTCACACTGTCAGTGTCCACAGAGACATGGTAACATGGGAGTGCTGTGACTTTAAGTCCAGGGAATGTGGAATGGAGCTGTGCAATATGATATGTGGTATAGGACTATATATAGAGTTGTAAAGGGCTCAACTAACCTCACACACTAACTTTTACTGCCTACAGAGATTCCTGGAAATAGGCAAGGTGTCCCAAGACCCAATGTCTTGTAAATAAAAACATTCTATTGGGATGATATCTCTCTTTCTCAAAGGGTTCTGTTGTGTTTTTTCCCTCCCATTCTGTTACGTTGGTTCTGTGAGAGTGTCTCTGTGTCTCAGTGAAGGTTGTTGTTGTGAATGTGATCTGGTGGAGGTCCATAGGCCTCTGTGTGTGAGCCTCCTGGCTCGGGATGTGTTTGAGTGTCCTGTGCTCATTGTGTAGTCTGCTCAGCTGGCCAGAGGAAGTAGCACCAACACAATGCAGCCCCTTGATTCCTACAGACTGCCTGGGTTCATCCAGTACTCTACTGCTAACTAACTTACTGGCAGCAGGAGCTAGGAGGGAACAGCACAACCATATCAGTACAAATAAGACAATACTCACAGGATGTGGTTTTAATGCACTGCCAGTATATGTGTTTATATGGGAATAGATCTAACCAGACGTGTGTGTGTGTGTGCAGGTGTTGGGGTGCTAAGCGGGCAGCTGTATGCAGCAGGGGGTCATGATGGGCCCCTGGTGAGGAAGAGTGTGGAGGTGTACGACCCACCTAGTAACAACTGGAGACAGGTGTGTGACATGAACATGTGTCGGAGGAACGCTGGTGAGTAGCCTGATGCAACACACACTCCCCTATGCCCAAATATTCTGCATATCATTGTCTCTAGAGTGTGTGTGTGTGTGTCTGACCTCTTCCCACTGTGTTCATGCAGGAGTATGCGCCATAAACGGACTGCTGTATGTGATCGGAGGAGATGACGGCTCCTGTAACCTCTCCTCAGTGGAGTATTACAACCCTGCCACAGACAAGTGGAGCCTCCTCCCTACCAACATGAGCAATGGCCGAAGCTATGCAGGTAACCTTTCACCTTTTGACCTTTCATACCACCTTTCAAATGCTTGTCTCTGCGTCCAAACTCAGAACCTTCTCCTTTGAAGAATTAAGACATGTTGATTGTGAGATGGTTTGGTGTTTAATGTGATATGGTTCATTTAGTGTGTTATTAATTTATGTCCTGATGTACCCTGCTATATCCACTCCAGGTGTATCCGTTATAGACAAGCCTTTATGACTATCAGCCCCCGACGGCAGCAGGACCCCACAGCCACAGGCAGCAATCAAAGGGAGCCACACAGACGTCTGATTTTACAGTCAACTCCATGGAATAACACTAGCCTGACAGGTGGCTTGGGAGGGAGGGAGGGAGGGAGGGAGGGAGAGAGGGAGACCCCAGCCCAGACAGAGCTCTGCAGAGCAGCGCTGCAGTCTCAGCCCTGTAACTCTAACCGCATTCCTTCCAGGCAGAGCGGGCCTGAGAGAGACATCGGCTTCCATGGTCAAAATGACCCCAAGACTCAACAAAGCTGCCTGGAGCAAAGTGTCTTAAGACTGGAGGGGGCTGTTTTCCTACAGCCTCACAGGGGGCCATTTAGCTACATTAGTATTAGGAGGGCCTCACTCTCCTCAGACTCCTTACAACTGAACAGAGGGGGGGAATAAACTGACCTTGTTTTAAGGGATAGACTAACTGAACTAAGACCAAGAAGGTGGTTGTTGATTGGCCTGTGAGACTGTGACCGTGCAGACACACATTGTGCTAACACGGGCCTCTCAAACCAACCATGAGCTCTGGCAGTGTTGTAGTACTTGAGTCCGACTCGAGTCCTGATTTTCATGACTTGTGACTCGGACTTGGACTCGGAATTGCCTTCTTGTGACTTGTATTTGCACTAGGACTGGATAGGCTACTATGATAAGGAGAATATTAGCAACACTGGGTGCGCAGAGCAGCAAGGGTTCTGTTCCCTAGCAGTGGGAAGGACGTGCCACACACAGCCTACATCAGCTGGTGAGCTGCGGAGGAGCAAGACCGGAAGGCAGGCTCCGCCTCCGATCATTGCCCACTACACATCGCGCAAGCAACACTCTTGCTTCCCCGTAACCACCAGTCACCAGCTTACTATTTAGCTTTGCCTGGTTAAGAAACACAAACTGCTTTATGAAATATAAAACAATACTAGTGTTGAGTTTAATAGTAAACAACAGTCTAGCTATTTGTCTCTCTCTCCCCTTGAGGATAGAAAAGTAAGCTGTCTTTGAATTTGTCGTCTCGCTCTAGCCGCCCACTCCCCCCCCGCATCCCATAGCCAGGGATGTATTCATTACGGAAACCGTTTACCGTTTAAGAACCAGGGGTGTATTCATTACGGAAACCATTTAAGAACCAAACGGAGCAAACGAAACGGGGAAGGGAACTACCTGAATTTGACCAATAGAAACTCTCGTTAGCATTTTCCGTTTGGAATAAACGGTTTGGAAAAGTGAGTGGCGCAGTGGTCTAAGGCACTGCATCGCAGTGCTAACTGTGCCACTAGAGATCCTGGTTCGAATCCAGGCTCTGTCGCAGCCGGCTGCGACCGGGAGACTCATGGGCGGCGCACAATTGGCCCAGCGTCGTCCAGGGTAGGGGAGGGAATGGCCGGCAGGGATGTAGCTCAGTTGATAGAGCATGGCGTTTGCAACGCCAGGGTTGTGGGTTCGTTTCCCACGGGGGGCCAGTATAAAAATAATAATAATATATATATATATATATATATATATGTATTCACTAACTGTAAGTCGCTCTGGATAAGAGCGTCTGCTAAATGACTAAAATGTAAATGTAAATGAAAAGTTTTGCAACAGAATCGGTGTAATGATTATACCCCTGGTTCTGACAAGTCTCCCTTTAGTTTTCATTCTGCAATAAAAACCTACTCAAATATCAGTGTGGGGTAGCTGAGAGCCTGACTTACCATTAATTTATGTAGTAAATAAGTAGTGAAACACAGGTATTGAGTAGAACTTGTGAGGTAATGATAATTAGTAAGTGAGATGTTTTTTTAAAATGAGGGAGTGGTGATATACTGCCATCTGGTAGCAACTAGAAACAATTGCATAATAAGACCTATAATAAATTGATGGACTAGTGACTCGACTCGTGACGCGACCATTGGTGACTCGGACTTGGACTCGACTCGGACTTCAGCCATAGGGACTCGTGACTTGACTCGGACTCGAGCACAGGGGACTTGGGACTCGACTCGGACTCGAGGTTTAGTGACTCGACTACTGATGTAGAAATGCACTGATGATCAGGTCAGTCTCTCTGTTCTCTATTGGAGACCTATGGACTGCAGGACTGAGGGGCTATGGTCACTACCAAGGTGAAATCAACAGGCTTTCACTCTGTCTGCAGCCTGAGTGGGCCCTCCCTTTTAATACCACCTGGACTACTGGTCTGAAGAACTTAGCAGGCAGACTGGAGGACCAACCTGGACCAGCATTCATCAGGATCCACATGCCTCAAGTACAATTTCCAATTTTGAATCGATCCTGTATATTGGAATTGGCTGCAATGGGGCACCATGTTAATGTAGTGTTTTAAATGCACTGTAAAGACAACTGCAAAGTGATAACCAACATGCTGTCAGTCTCCTCTTGGTGTACTCTATGTGCCATAATGTTCTCATAATGTGTCTGGGGGTTTGTTCGCAAACCTTGTCTCTCTCTGAAGGAGACGTGCCAAATTGATGCAAAACTACTTTAGACAATGAACACCATGTCCAAGAATGAATGCATAAGCACCCTTTTGTTTTGTATAAAGCTAATTTCCTGTAACATGACCAAAAAACTACTTTACAACTTCTGGATCAGGCAAAATATTCTGGTTAACATTATTTCAAGCTCAGCACATCTTTTACCAGGGTTGGGTTAAATTCCATTTCAACTCTCATCAATTCAAGAAGTGAATTGAAGTTCAATTCATGAATTGAAAAATCCTCTTTGAATTAAGCCACGATTAAATGTTCACTTTTTGAATTATAATGAATCTCTTGACTTGAAATGGAATTGACCCCTACTGTCTTTTTCTACGCCTATACTGTCATTTTGTTCACTAAGATTCTGGTATTTTAATTTATTATATTTACTGCACAATCTGTAAGTTTACTATGGTTATGGTTAGCCACCCCAGAGCAATGTTGAAATATGCAGGACATAGGCAACTTGTATAATGTTAAGTATATTAAATATTATATCAAGGTCAGTGAAATATTTTCGATTTTATTGTGGATATTAAATTATAGTAAATAGCATTTATAATGAGCGTTGTTGTGTGTACCACCTTTAGAATTCTCTTGAGCATCAGTCCTCTGTTCAGGGAATGGTTCCATTTGGGTACATTGTTACGGTGGTTCCATTTGGGTACATGGTTACGGTGGTTCCATTTGGGTACATGGTTACAGTGGTTCCATTTGGATACATGGTTGTGGTGGTTCCATTTGGGTGCATGGTTATGGTGGTTCTATTTGGAAACATGGTTACTGTGATTCTATGAGGATACATGGTTATGGTGGTTGTATTTGGAAACATGGTTATGGTGGTTCCATTTGTCATTTTAATGTATAGAAAATCCGCCTCTCATCATAGAACGAAGGTCACCTCCAAATCACCATGAGCAGTTTTACTTTACACTTTCATTGCTACTGAAACTAACCTGGATTTGTATTAACTTGGACTATGCAGCTGACTATGTGAGCCACCATTGTAAGATGTTGTTAGGAAGGTGGATTGGTAGGAGATGTGTGTGTGTGTGTGTGTGTGTTTGACTCAGACTGGGAGTGTATGAGGATGACATCTGTAGTTGTCAGTGACTTTATTAGTGAATGCCATCAGCTCAGCAGCCGTGTTTGTGGCCTTGTACATTACATTTCAAGCCACTTGTCATACTGAATGTAGGGCTACTTTCTGTATTGGTGGGATTAGTAATACACCACACATTTCTACTAGCTATCTACAGCATATCACTGACAATCCTAGACTGCATCCTCTTCAACCTCTGAGCAGAGTCACAGGGGGAAGATCTCAATTGCATACTCCTCGTCCTCTCTCCTCGTCTCCTTCTCAAAACCCATTGGATGAGAAAGCCAGAGGTCCCTCCCCTCTGATCTTCTCATCCAATGGGATTTGAGGAGACGAGGAGAGAGGACGCGAGGAGTATGCAATTGAGATCTTCCCAGGGTCCCTCTGGAGAGGTGCAGACAAATGTCAGAGCTGGACCACTCAGGGACCTGCACTGAGCCTGCATAAGGACACCAGCCTGGGTCTACAGACAATGGGTGTCAAAAACCCTGTATAGACTTACTGCGTCCATTCCACCCAACAGTCCTCATATGTCTTCAGCTGCTCGGTTTATGACTGACAAAAATGGCCTTGCATTTTAAGTGGGGGAAGTGTGGCCTTGAATCACTGTCTTAACAGTGCTGAACATGAACACGATACTGTATGGGATCTTAGGACTCAGTAGGGACTGTGTATTGTGTTAATTTTTATATATTACTGAATAAATATATATGAATATATTTTTTAACATGGATGTGGTGTTGTTTTTGTGAAATAATATAATTCAACAATGATATAGCTCACTAGCAGGTTGCAATACCAAGGTGGGGGGGAGGGGAGGGGAGGGGAGGTGAGGAAATGAAGCCCCTTTGTGGGGAAAAACTCATTCTGATTGGCTGGGACTGGCTGCCAAGTGGGTGGGCCTATGCCCTCCCAGGCCCACCTAAGGCTCCACCCCTTCCCAGTCATGTGAAATCCATAGATTAGGGCCTAATGAATTTATTTCAATTGACTGATTTCCTTATATGAACTGTAACTCAGTAAAACCTTTGAAATTGTTGCATGTTGCGTTTATATTTTTGTTCAGTATAGTTACTAAAATACTAAATGTAAGTCGCTTTGATAAAAGTGTCTGCTAAGTGGTAATGAGTAATTCAGAAGATAGAAATGAAAGTCTGACTGTATTTGGAGAGCCATATTTGGTCTATAGATGCTCAATCAATAAACTATCAACCGCAAATGTTGATATAAAACAGTGTGCTAGGGTTAGGGTTGAGCTGGGATGTGGACATGAAGCTAGGGTAAGGGTTAGGGTTAGTGTTGAGGTTCTTCTAGGGTTAGGGTTAAATTAGGTGAAAATGTACCTTAAAGAGGACAAGCAATGCACGGGCACATGATCTCTAATTCTATTGCTCCTAGGGATCCATCTTTATAAAAGTTGTTATATGAGAGGTGAGAAAACATTCCCAGAGGAAGGTTAAGGTTAGGGCCCTAGTGAAGGATGTGGTTACGGTTAGGGCCCTAGTGAAGGATGTGGTTACGGTTAGGGCCCTAGTGAAGGATGTGGTTAAGGTTAGGGCCCTAGTGAAGGATGTGGTTAAGGTTAGGGCCCTAGTGAAGGATGTGGTTAAGGTTAGGGCCCTAGTGAAGGATGTGGTTAAGGTTAGGGCCCTAGTGAAGGATGTGGTTAAGGTTAGGGCAAGGATCATGGGCATGGCTTGGTAACCTCTAAGTGTTGGGGTTAGGTTTAAGGTTAAGGTGAGGGCCAAGTTTAAGGTTATGGTAAGGGCTGGTGCCAAGATCAGGGTAGAGCCAAGACCTGGTCTAGTAACCTCTATCTAATGCAATCTTCATGAGTGCTGAGGTCACAGAAAAAAACAACCAGTCCACCTGTCTTCTCAAAACTGTCCAAAAGATGGAGAAAGAGGATCCTACTTCTTATTCCAACCTGTGGGATCAATAGTACTCAATTTCTGTATTGCAAAAATGCTCCTTAGTCTGTCTCTGTGTTAACGACCACCCTTGGTTAGATTCCAACCCTGCTATTCTTAACTGTCCTACTGTATGAGATCTAAATGTGTGTATAGTGTGGTTATGCTAGTGTGGTTGTATCAGCATATCTTTCCAATTTTTGTTTTGCTGATATATATTACTCTGAATTGTTGGAGAACCTCATCATCCTTTGTCTGCTGGAAATGACCCTTTACTACAGAGTTAAACTTCATAGAAGACTGAGAGTATGTGGTGACAAATGGGATGACATTTATATCATTAGGGTTAGGGTTGAGGTTATGGTAGGGTTAGACTAGGGTTGAGGTTATGGTAGGGTTAGACTAGCGTTAGGTGTGAGGTTATGGTAGGGTTAGACTAGGGTTGAGGTTATGGTAGGGTTAAGATTCAGGTTAGAGTTCAGGTTAGGGTTGAGGTTAGTGTTAGGGTTGAGGTTATTGTAGGGTTAGGACTAGGGTTAGGACTAGGGTTGAGGTTATGTTAAGGTTAGGTCTAGGGTTAGGGTTAGGTTTGAGGTCATTGTAGGATTAGGACTCAGGTTAGGGTTAGGGTTGAGGTTATTGTAGGATTAGGGCTAGGGTTAGAGATCAGGTTAGTACTCAGGTTGTGGTTATTGTAGGATTAGGGCTATAGTTAGGACTAGGATTAGGGTTAGGTGTGAGGTTATGGTAAGGTTAAGACTTAGGTTTGGGTTCAGGTTAGGGTTAAGGTTAGTGTTAGGGTTCAGGTTATTGTAGGGTTAGGACTAGGGTTAGGACTAGGGTTAGGGTTGAGGTTCTGGTAAAGTTAGGACTAGGGTTAGGGTTGAGGTTAGGGTTAGGGTTGAGGTTATTGTAGGATTAGGACTAGGGTTAGGGTTGAGGTTGTGTTTGGGTTGCGGTTAGGGTTAGAGTTGAGGTTATTGTAGGGTTAGGACTAGAATTAGGGCTAGGGTTAGGGTTCAGGTTAGTGTTAGGGTTCAGGTTATTGAAGGGTTAGGACTAGGGTTAGGACTAGGGCCACAGCTCAACCCTAACTGCAACACTAACCCTAACATAACCTCAACTCTAACCCTAACTCCAAAGCTAACCCTACAATAACAGCAACCCTAACCCTACCATAACCTCATACCTAACCCTAGTCCTAACCCTACCATAACCTCAACCCTAACTCTAATCCTAACGTAACCCTAACAGTAACTCAAAACCTAACCCTACAATAACCTCAACCCTAACCCTAGTCCTAACCCTACCAGAACCTCAACCCTAACCCTACCATAACCTCAACCTAACTCTAACCCTAGTCCTAACCCTACCAGAACCTCAACCCTAACCCTACCATAACCTCAACTCTAACCCTAGTCCTAACCCTACCATAACCTCAACTCTAACCCTAGTCCTAACCCTACCAGAACCGCAACCCTAACCCTAGTCCTAATCCTACCATAACCTCAAAACTAACTCTAACCCTACCCTAACTGCAACCCTAACCCTTAGCCTAGCTTCGTGTCCACACCCAGCTCAACCCTAACCCTTAGCCTAGCTCCATGTCCACACCCAGCTCAACCCTGACCTTAGCCATAATCTTAACCCAAACAAACTGTTGCACTTGGGAGTTTGAGCATTTATTGACCATCTAGGCCGACTCTCCAAATAAAGCCTGACAAAAGTGGGTCTTCAGTTTTACTCAAGTGTTAGTGTTGGTTGTGAACACTAGAGGGTAGCAGTAACACATAAAAAATACAACCTGGCAATGCTCTTTCCCCTGGTAGTGTGACTGGCAATGAATCACAGTAGAAATGTAAATTTTTTGCCTAAGGGATACATTGATCATTCACTACATCTTGTTAAAGATGCACTTGATAAAGCCTGATCAACATGTGCTATGGTAATTCAGGGGCCCAGGGAGATGGATTTATGTGT